CGTACAATTGACAAACTCACATAGGTTATGTTTACTACTTAAGAACAGCTGATGAGAGGGGTGTTATGTAAACAAACATGTGTACCAACTGTTGGTGATGAAATATTTCATTTGTTGAAAACTCAATATACATATATATAATATAATGATACTATATCTTGAAAACAAGAGCTAATATATAATTTTTATGGTCACTTTCGGTTTTAACACGTGGAAATACATTAAAATCATCTAATTTCAACCCCGAAACAAAAACTTTGTTGTGTTGTGTAATCCAATATCAAATCTTTGTTTATGCTTTCGTTGAGTTTCAATTTTTCTCTGAGTTGACAAATTTACTAGTTAAAAACCAGTGGTTTTTGCTGAATCGGGGTAATCATCTACGTAGTGATTTTTTCTTATTGCCTCGATTCATGTATCACTTTAGGTCAGAGCGACATTAAGATTTTTGATGAATTGGGCACATGACAGAGAGCAGCATGTAGCACTTTCACGATTCCATAATAATCTTTGAGCATCTTGGTCTTTTGGTCGTATTTTGATCATGTGAAAAATCTCTCTGACGTCACTTGTAAATGCAATCTTCCCTTGCCAAGGTGAATGATATTAGCAAATCAGGAATCAGGACCAGAAAGGAGATTGATATTTTTTAGCTGGTTCCCGATGACTTCGCTTAATTTCTGAGGTTAATTTTCGTTAATGACGCCAAAGTGTGGTAAATACCATGTTCTCGAACCTTCTTTGGCTGTTTCACCTGTCAATTTTCGTATGTAGCTTTTTTGAGGTAATTTCGGATATTTTCATATTTTCTAGAAAATGACTCGTTTTTTTCCATCTGTCTCTCTATACATGCCAGACGTCGTATAACAGTGGCTTCACTTGGCGGCAGTACAACTTCGTCAGACTTCCATGAGAGACTAATGATAGTCAGAGCTCTTTCGAAATATTTGTCATTTTCCGGAGAAGATTGTGAAGTTCCGAATGCATCTGAAATGAATGAATGTTTCACTAATTGGTGGAGGCTTTCGTCCGACATATGTGGAAAATAAAATTATTCTTCCAGGCATAACAATCAGTTTTACCGTGTAGAATCAATCCCAAGGCCATTGTGAATTTTCTGGGCCTAGGACAACTTTTTCAGGTACAGCACGCCGAATATTGTCCAGTTCTATCAGAATCATAGATTTTTCAAAATAGTCACTTCATAGTGGTGACTGTTTTGAAGGCACGAAAAACATAACTTCAGTTTTGTCACTTGTTTCCATCTTGAGTCGACGTCTTCTGATTTGGAAAAATCACATTCGTCAATTTTGTGCAACAAGGACTTTTTCGTTTTCAGATATGAGAATCACTGGCGATCTTTCTCTTCGTTGATTTACTTGGTTGTAGGGTTTTTTGAGAGAAATTTTTGAATGTGTCACGTTGCAAACATCACATCGTGGAAATAAGTCCATTTATATGTGATTTGACATGTATACAAGACTTTCCATTTCGTATTCACTTACAGTACCATTCATTAGTGATTATCAACGAACAGCACGCATTTAGTTAAGGTAAATCTACCAACATTAATCTACTGTTGTACACCCAGTATATTTTGAATGCTCTGGAAAACAAACAAGTGGACGTAATTTACACCGATCTTTCAAAAGCATTTGACATCGTAAACCATGAAGTTCTTTGTGGTAGATCACAGTGCGTGAAAATTAAATGATTTATCTCTCACGAGATATCTGTTGCCTCAGGAGTACCTCAAGGGAGTCACTTGGGACCCTTTCTCTTCAATATCTTTGTAAATGATATCAAAGAAAAAATTACTCGCTGTGAAATACTGATGTTTGCAGACGATCTAAAAATGTTTAGAGCAATAGATTCATTGCAGGAATGGACCTTAAATNTATTCACTTGAAAAGTTATCAAAGAAAAACATTTTTCATTTTGTAACTTCGAGGGCCCGTAACTTGGTTACGAAGACTTTTAGGAAAAAAAGTTATATGAAGTACTGGTGATATTTTGACCCCATCTATACATTCCCGAGAGGAAAAGAGGAAGTCCAGGGACACCCTGTATATCAAAAGTATTTTAAACTTTGAAAACCTAAATATTAATGAACAGGGACTTCCGAACTTTGACAATTGATAACGGCTATCTTGTTGAAGCTACATCTGTCAAATTAGTCGTCAGTTATTAAGTTTTTTTTGCCAAATCATCATGGACGGATATAGCATTCATCAACACGTGCAAATAATAAAATTGGTTTATAAGAATGGGTGTTCTGTTCGAGCAATGTACCGCGCGCCATACTTGTCCTACCAAGAGGACTATTCGCAATATGGTGGATAAATTTTTCTACTGGTTCAGTAAACGATCGACCAACGAAACGCAAGATCTGCCGAAAACATCGCCGCTGTCTGTGAGAGTGTGCAGGAGAATCTGAGGCAGTCGATTTCGCGTTGATCACAAGAACGCGTCTTTTCGCAGTCCACAATTTAGCGAATTTTGCGTCGTGACTTGGGCCTGCACCATTACAAAGTTCAACTGATCCAGGAACTGGAGATAAACTATCATATAGACAACGACTTGTGTTCGTTGAATGGGTTCTAGAGCAGTTGGCAACTGTCCCTAATTTTCATCGAAAAATCATCTTCAGCGACGAGGCGCATATCTAATGAATGGGTACGTGAACAAACAAAACTGTCGAATTTGGGACGATACCCACCCACCTGAGATCCAAGAGCGTCCAACGCACTCCTAAAAATTCACTGTTAGGTGTGGATTTTGGGCTGGCGGCGTCATTGGTCCATATTTCTTTAAGAACGACGTTGAACAGGTCACTGTCAACGGTGTTCAAACGTCTTAGAATATTTGACATTATTTTAAGGATTCTATAATTTTTATCATTTGTGAACTTGGGTCGAGCTGTAATCTCAAAATGCTTATTGTTATTCGTTTGAAATTGGAAACTTTCACATTATTGGTATTTGTTTATGATGGGTAAATTTGCAACTTAACCCTCAATAAAAAGCCAATACTTCTATTGTTAACTTTTTCAAAAGCATCTATTTTTTATTTCTTCGTGACTATATTATTTGTGTTTATAAGGTTAACTGACGTTTCCCTGCATTCCTATCTTTTTTGAAATTATGCTGACAATTTTTAAAATTCTTAATAATTTCTCTTTGTTTGCGAAATCTCGACCTTAGCACCCTTTTTTCCAAGAGATTCAGAGACAACGTAACTTGACAATAATTTCAACCCATCTTGATGAATTACTCTCTCCCAAGAAGAAATTTTGGAATTTGACTAAGTGAAAATAAAATTCAGTCTTCGTCCGAGAGAACTTGTTATATGCCATACTATCTTACCGCGTATCACAAATTCAGTTGCTCATTCGCAAATACCATAAAAACATCTTGTTGCAAGNTTGATTATTAAGCGTTTATTATGAAAGATGGAACAAGAAGTTATAAAAAAATTTTTTGGATAATATTATTATCTAAAACAAAGTTTTACTGTACTGAGATCATGCTATTTGAACCTTTAGACTTTTTCTCGAGGGAGTTTTCTTAAGTCACAGGTGCATGCGAATAAGCCACAAACCACAGCGGTCCTCAAAGCCAACATAACCCATGTCATCGGTCAAATTCAGCCTGATTTATGCGCCAGTAATGGAAAATTAAACGTTTCTGATAGGATCCACACAGACAAGCCGTGGCGGACATTTGAATGATGTTATATTCCACACATAATGCCATCAATAAGTCTTTCAAACGAATAAAAAAATTCGATGATATCTCACACACTTTTTTTTATTTAAATTTGAAGATATAATACGAGTATTCAATAAGAAAAAAACATTTTTAAGAATGGCAATTCGTTGTGGACTTTCTTTTCCATTGTTTTTTTCAGCTAATCTTTTCAATTGTTTACAGATTCTTTTAGGGATTTCAAATCAATTTGTATCATATTAGACAATGGAATATGGAAGTCCAAAATAATGAAATGCATTGTTGTTAAGGTTGTGAGTCTATATATTTTATCAGCATTTTTCCTTATCTGTTTAGTATAGTTTCCGTACGCCACTACATGAGAGATTAAGGCAAAACCAGTCATTTCTGAGAATGTTGTGCCTACTATTTTACTCCAAACAGTGTCTCAAACATATACTATTTTTTCAGTAAATTTACTTTGAAAAAATATTTACGAAATGGTCGCTCGGTAGCCGGGCGGTTCGACGTGGGTGCTTTGTTCACTCGGTCAATCGGCCGATATGTGAGTCGATGGTTGAAGCCGCATGCTGAACGCTCGATTTTTACTTGCTATCGTCCAACCCGTCTTAGGAATCACACGTTAAAAGGTAACACTTCGTTAGTCCTGCTGGTTAACGGAAAAAACATATTTTAAACATATTTAAATGAAAATTCTCTGAAATACATGTTTTTTATGGAGGACTGAATACTTCTTAGTGTTTTTTGAGTATATAACCTTCCACGAGCTGAATCGATAGAGAATCTGCTGAAGTGTAATAAAGGGTAAACTGAAAAGTTCACTCCGAAAAGTTACTGCGTAATATAAACCACTGAAGACTCCAAATAGTATAGTCTATACGAAGTCAATCCGAACAGCTAAGTAAAATATTAATGTACATACTAATGTACTCTATACTACTACTAAAAACATCCGTTTAGTTTAATGAAAAATGAAATTAATCAAAACAAAAAAATTATACTCCCCGCCCACACCATACAAAGAAACTGTCGAAGTTCGGTAACTATTAAATTTTTATGCCATTAGAAATAACTTCGTATATACTATAACTTGTAGATATTTATAAATTTTGCCTACAAGTCAAAAATCAATTGAGAAAAATTTAATATTTATACTTAGGGAAAGTTTGAAGTTCAAAGAAAGCTAAGTTTAAATATTGAATTTTTTCAATGTGTAAGCAAAATTTATTAATACAAGTTTCTAATTAATTGTACCCTTCAGTGGTTTATATTACGCAGTAACTTTTCGGGGTGAACTTTTCAGCAGATTCTTTATTGATTTTGCTTTATTTATTTTTCGGATTGTGGAAGGTTATACACCCAAAAAAAGTAAGAAATAAATGAAAATTATTTCATAGGTAGGTTATACCACCCACACTAGGAATTGAAAGTAGTTTTTTTAATTGAGATATTTCTGAAAAATCGCTCTTGTTGAAGGGAAATAATGTAGATATCTGAAGTTACAAACTACTCGGAGTCCCTTAAAACTTTTATGGTTCAATGACTACATACGTGATTCTATCACGTTCCACCCTGTAAGAAATATACTACCTGAAAGAACAAGGTTGCCATAAACACCACCCAACCATAACCGCCATCTGGGATACTTGGTCCGAGTTCTGGCTGTGTCGACAAAACACTGTCGATTACAAGTTCTTCGTTTTGCTGCCTGGTCTCTTGTTGTACTGAATTCATTTTATGGGAGGGAAATAACTCACACTTTCACGGCACTTCCAGGCCTATACATTAACGAAAGATAGGCACTCACTTCACTTCAAAAACATTAGGTACTTTGTGTATTGGATTATTTGGCGTGGTACTTCCAAAAAACTCGGGTCAGGTGAATCACTTCTTTTTACCTACATTGTTCAATAGTTCACAATCTATATTCTTATCTTATCGTTTGGGTGAGTACACAAACTTCGTTGCGCACATTTATAATTATGAGGTAGGTATAATATTATAGGTAAGTTTTCATTTATTTTCTCCGGCTCATGACTATAATGAATGATATTGAACAAACATATTAACGAATTTTATAGCAATTTTAAATAGCTACTAATGTTCAGAGCCAAGGTCTCGATTTCTCTTCAACAACATTAAATGTGGTCGGTAGTTTTCGTAAATTTAATTATTATTCTACAGGTGACTCGTCAAGTTGTTTATGGTTACTTTTATCATTCGCGTTTTAAACGATCTAGTCTCGAGTTTTTACAGGGTGCTCCACCTAAGAGCCTCGTACGAGTCTTGGACAATAGGACTACACTAACATCTGAGAATCTAAATTTCGAAGAAAGAAACAATTCGGGCTACAGCTCGGAATCGATCGGCGAATGTACCCGTTCTAATAATTGAATATCGATTCTGGCAGTTGTATCACCAAAAGCGTATGCTGCATATGTGTTCTGTAAAGACACTGACACCTGTCGGAAATAATCCAACGCCCTTCGTGGTATTAGCCAGGGGAGTAGTTGTTTTCTGATAGGTGTCAGTCCATGAACCTACTGTGTAGGTAAGTGAAGACTGGCCTGAACGAATTGTTCCTTTCTTTAGATTGTTCGATTTATAGCTAGTCTTCAAGTACGTCCACTCACTATAGGTGAAAGGTCACACAATTTGAGGAGCCTTACCTGATCATTATTGTCAGAACCTTCATTTCTTTCAAATGGATATCAATGACGGTCCAATTTCGGAAAGATAGATGTTCATTGAAATAGGACAAACTGAATCCACAGGTGAAAATTATTATTCATCGGGAATGAAGCTCAAATCAAATTTGTATGTCAATGGCAATGTGTTGGCTGGGTCGCCTAATAAATAGTGCCTGCTAGGTTAGGTTAGGTTAGGTCCAAAGTGAGTGGGTCTATTCGACCCTCCACCGCAACCCGCAAGGGTTTATTGTAGCTCACACCTATTCACACTCTCCCAAATAAACCCAGCTTCTTAACGAAACCGATTAGTTTGTATGGTGAGTGGTCTTTCAGGTCAGATGATAAGAGTACGGCTCTGCTGAACTCTTAAAGACCTGATTCGGTCCCCAGCGGGGCAGGCACAAAGTATATTCTCTGTTAATGTGGTAGCCGGATAGTCAAGTTGCAAGACTCCCATCTTGATACCCACGACAACCTTCCCATATGAGGGTTTCTGCACGCCAGCTACACCTGACGATACCTTAAATTCAGCCGTGCAGGGCTTTTTCGCCTTTGGTTTTGGTGATTCATCACTTGAGCGCAAACGTTTGCTAACCTGCTCATGGGGGGTTTGTTCCCCCACCTGAGATAGATTCTGCGTTGCACACCTGGTGGCTATCTCTTCGCAGCCAAGTATAAACCGGTATTAGAGCTAACGTTGTGAACTATCTCTACCTATTGAAAAGTAGCCGCAAATAGGGGTTGTTAGTTGTTAAAAATTGGTTAGACTGAAAGAGAGCAGTCTTTAAAACTACGCAACTGATTTTGATGCGGATAGTGATTTAAGAGAAAAGTTCATATGTATATAACAAGCATAATGTAGTAGAGAAACACTGATAATTTTATAGGTTTCTAAAGTGATGTCGTAACACATTTTTTTGCGCTTACATTGAAGACGCTGGCTGAACCCTACGAGATAGATCAAAATAATGGACTACATCATTATACACCTTAAAAATTCCTACAAAAAAGTCCGCGATGGTATATGTCTATATCCTTTAATTTTTTACGAAGCGATTTTAAGCAATACAGCATTAATCCTTATCCAATTGAGTACCTTAAATACTTTGTGCATTCAATATTGATTACAATGCCCTTTACAGCATGTAATTCAAATGAATATTTTCGAAGATGTTACAGATTTAAAATGCAGGGACATAGGGGTTGCTGCGGTACCGGCCGAGGGCGTCGAAGACTGCGCTTCGCCCTGTAGCACTTTATGATTAACAGCGATCGCTCGCGTTTATACAGTGTCACCGATAAAGTCCGCATCAAATGGGAAACTTTTTTATTTATCGTTTCATGTGAAATTTGATTTTGGCAGTAGATTTTGCTTAAGAAATGATGTCAAATGGCGTCTACAAAATATGTCACGTGATTTCCTTAACCTGTCAAAATTGACATTTAAAAAAAGAAACATCGAAAAATGACATTAATGTTTCCTAATGTTCCGTTTTGTTCTAATTCATTTTGTGAGGCCATTTGCTCATTAGAGGCTCTTAAAATATTATTATATTACAAAAAAGAAATTCAATGACGAGTTTAGTTAAAATAAATGATTTAGTACAGGTGTGCTTAAATTTTGATAAGTAGAAAAAGCAGGAGTGCGGAAAAATAGTGAAAATATAAAATACTTATTATACGTTATACGTTAGTAAGTTAAGAAAAATGATGACTCTAACTTGGCTTGAAAGAGAATTCAAATATTACGGTATTAAAGATGGCGCTATGGTTGAACGAACATTTTTCATTACGTTGGATTGGTAGAAATAGCCCATACGAACAATGGTCTCCTCGCTCTTCTGGCATAACTCCAATGGATTTTTATTTCTGGGGAACTATAAAGGATAGGATTTACAAGTCTAGGCCTCGAAATCGACAAGAACTTTGTGAGAGAATACGGCAAACCTACCGTGAAATAAGTATTCCAGAACTTGAAGTGGCCAATAATAATTGTTCGATTGGTGGTTTTTATTCTCTTTATTCTGTATTCAGTTTTACAAGATCGCAACACACGCAAGAACGTTTCGCTATACAGTAGCTTCTTCTGGCGTGTTTATACTGAGGAAGCTATTGCATAACGAAACATGTGTTGCGTTTTTGTAAAATTGTTTGGTGAAAATCTGATGTAAAGTGTTTCTTGAATACGTTATGATGCCGACTCCATCACAAGTCAAAAATTGAAATTGTTTTTTCTCGAAAATTGATTTTCATTTTCAAAAGTTATACTCACATTATTGAACAGGGACTCTGAAAGTAAGAAGTTTGACCTCAGATCAGAGGCGTAAAAATTGGAGTATACTCGTAAATGATTAACAACCCTTATTGTAATCCACCTGATGCTGCTAGATGCTGTTTTTGAAAAGTATTGTTTTATGCAATGAAATCATACCTAGAATTACGTGAAAAAATAATCAATATTTTAAAAGTTCTGAACAAAATTTTTGTACTCCCTGTATTTATAAAACAGTGGATTTCAAAAGAAGAGTCTCACTTTGAAAATATTGATGATTTATGTTAGGAATCTTCTGTATCAAATTCAAATGTTTTCGTCAACACCTTTCGGAAAAATATTTTTTGGAATCCTAAATATCCTCACAACGGCTCGCTTTACGAAAGCTCAAATGATCAAAACTATTCCAAATTCGATGCCCATCAAATACACCACATTTGAAAGTTGTTGACATCAAAAAAAATTTCGGTCCGCAGCGGCATCTTTAATATAAAAAAATATGAACTGACTTTTATGTCAACATGAAATCATACTTCCTATTACCCACTAACAAGCATTTTTAGAATTGAAATATGTTTTCTATTTCCGTGTGGGAGTTTGAGATGAGATGCCTGATATTTAAAAAAAATTGAATTTACCGCCATAAATGATAGTTTACCCCTTTGATAAACAATCACAGAATATGGGTAACACAAACTCGGCTCCTCAACATAAAAGTGCCGTCAGTTACTGATAGCTTATTATAAATTTTAATAAATAAAATTACAAAGTATGAAATTGAAGTATCAATTATTTAAATGTTTGTCTAATTACGCAATAGCTTTTTGTTCTATTTCCCATGAAAAATCTTGTGGAAAACACCTCATATTCTTAAAACATTAGAATGCCATGTGAACGGTAAGATAAATATTTGAGGCAAAAAATCAAAGGGTTTCCAATAAAATCAATAAATGAATAAAACATAGAAGGGTTAAGTACAAGAAAAAATGGATGACCACAATAAAGGAAAAATGTTTTCATTTTAATAAATTGATTGATGTAATTATGTAGGTAGCCGTTACTACTTGATAGGAGGTCATCATGAAAAATGAGAAATGAAACTTACTATGTTTTTTACCACTTTTATTTGTAACTATCGTTACTGCAGTTTCATCCTTTATGGACATTTTCATTTGAAATTTGAAAATGTCCATAGAGAACGAAACTGCAGTAACGATAGTTATAAATTTTAGTGGTAAAAAACATGGAAAGTTTCATTATTCATTTTTATGTTTTCATTTTATACACATCTCTATGCACTAAACTACCTTCGAATAACTTCTTTGGGAATAATCGTGATTTTTTTTGTGTAAATAGGTACTTTCAAATTGCTGCGCCTACGTATGAATTTTGAATTTCCCGCCTACTTCTTCATAGTCCACCTGTATCCGGTTTAATTATTCCATGCCCATAGGTCGCCATTTGCATTTGCGATTTACAATGTTCTGTCGAATTGCCTTAATTTGTTTGTAATATTTGAAATCGGACGTTTACATTTTAGTTTTCAGTTTTTGATACCCATTAATAAAAAGCGATCAGATTATTCAAAAGTTAATTTTTGGATAATTATCATTCAAACTGAGCAGACTTATGAAAAGTTCCGTTGAGGGTTAAGGTAACACATATTTCTTTAAAGCTTACATACACCACTTTTAGGAATTCATAATTTCCATTTGTTACTATTAAAAACTTATTTTCTCGTGTACATAAAATTCTTGAGTCCATAAATGTAATATATTAATACTTTTGAATGAATTCTGTTACTGAAACGATCCAATTACTTACCACTTATTAAGTACATACGATTTAAAATTTGCGACTCTCATTAAAAATTTGTGCATGAATCTGCCCTTTATTATCATCTACAGCGTATAACGGAATTGATTTTGAAATCATCATTATAGTGAATATAGAGAAGCAAAATGGAACCTAGAGGAAGGGGTCGAGCTAGAGGAAGGGCAAGGGGAGCCCCTCAACAAGGATCACAAGGTCCTCGTCCTGGTCCACAAGGTCCTCGTCCTGGTCCACAAGGTCCTCGTCCTGGTTCACAAGGTCCTCAAGGCCCTCGTCCTGGTCCACAAGGTCCTCAAGGCCCTCGTCCTGGTCCACAAGGCCCCCGTCCTGGTCCACAACAAGTTCCTCCTCAGCAGAGGCCGGCACCTGTTCTTCAAGGCCCGTGGAACCGACCTACCTTACCTTCGCAGGCACCCCAGCAGCCTACACCAACTCAGTGGGTCAGGCCACCACAGCCCATCCCTACACCTGTAAGTACCTTTCCTCATTAATATTCTTAGGTGATGAGATATTGACAAAGTTCAGTCATTTCGAAAACGTGTACTCGGGTGTAATGAAAGGCAAACTGAAATGTTACTGAGTGACATAAACCTCGTGGAGAGTGTAATTTAGTCAGTAATTTGTCCAATTTTTTAAATTTTGCCAATCAAATAAAATAGTGCCAAATTTTTCATGAAAAACCTTGAAGATTTATATGTGAAATTATGCACAACCAAATTTTCAAGAAAGAAAGGTTTTGGCTTTCTACTTTTTTGCATGATTTGCACATCTTCCTATAGAGTAAATATCGGAATTCTCATAATCGGACCTCTGATATCCGAGCTTAAATGCACATTTTGTACTTTCTCAATTCTAGATATATCTGCCTGATATAGACGACTTCATATTGATCAATTCCTTTCCAAGACTTAGCGTTCCAAAGAGAAAGACAATATTATTGTCCTTGAACAAATCCCAATAATTTGAGTTATTTGGATACAATGTGATCAATATGACCTTTAAAAGGTTGCTTTGTTATTGTTATTAAACAACACTCACAAGTCCCGAATGCTGTTGGTCAGCATTACATTAACATTTTTTATTTTGTGTGGATACACAATAGGTTTTGCAGTTCTTATAGATATTTGATAACATTATTTATTCTTAAATGAAGCATCATACCAACGAGATAAGTTATTTGAGTGTAGCTGTAACAGTTCTGCATCACATAAGTTATCTAATGTCTGCAAACATTGAGTAATATCTGTGATGTGTGACATCCGACACATCGAATACAAAAAGAATGAAGAGTATTGGGCATATATGCGTTCCTTGAGGAACACCAGACGTTACAGAAATTTGTGGTGATATGTGATGAATTGTGCATGATTATGCACCAAAAAAAAATCATCGGTCATATCTAAGACCTCAAAAAAGTTTTTGACTAAATATATATTTTTTGCGTCTAATGAACACTATTAGCAAGATAAATTTTACTATTTTCATCAGCACCCATGAATGATTGCAGATTTTATAGACTTACTGGCATGAATATCTTGATAATGGCTGTCATCAACTCATATTTCTCACATTTTAGCCAAGATGTCAACACCATCTTAACATTTCATATGAAATATGTGCATGATTGTGCATTTTAAGTTGTGAGTGTATAGGTATACAATTAAGATCACTAGTGTTTGTATGTGTAGTCATAGTATTTGAAAAAAAATGTTTTAAACTTTTGCTCTTCAACATTTATTTATTTCCGCCCTCCATAAAGGGGCTTATATATATATCTTTCCAAAGTTTCAACTTTACGTGAATCTCTGGTGTCAGAATAATTTTATTTTATAGAATTTCATATTATGTAGTATTGATTTTATATTTTTTACAAAAAATAGTTGACAGTATCATCTCTTTAAAGTTAGAGAAATATTCTTTTAGGATAAACATATTTTCTGTGAAATAAATTTTTTAACACTTGGAATTTTTTTTCAGTCAGCTGGTAGGGGATCCCGTCTCGGAGCTGGTGATTCAAGTGATGTTGTACCTTCGATGGAACAAGCAGGAGGTTTGTATAAATAGCCATTGAAATTTATATAAACGACGGTCACTTTCATTTTTTCAAAAAGTAGGAAAGGCATTTTTATGGAACAAACTCTTCCACTTTATTCAAAAACATAGTTTTGAAAACTTTTAACAGGTTCTTGAGATGATGGAAATTGCAGCTTTAACATTTTTTGATTAACGTAGGAAAACAAAAAGTTAGCTTTTCTCCTTTTAATAATCATTATCTTGAAGTGTATGAACTTCAATGAAGAATGGTGCGATCTTTTAGTTTCTTTTCCCAATTTCGTTGAATTCTTTTGTCAAATTGAATGTGTGTACCATTTAGCTTTATATCTATTCGATCCTCTACAAGAATGGTAGTGATAAGTCCAGTGAACTTTAGCGACGTTGTATACAGATTATGCAGTTATCAAGTTGATTTTTTTCAGCATTTCTTCAAATCATTTCACATAAGTCATTTTCAAAATCATGGCAGTCTTTTGTGCGAAGAAATGCTTCTTAACTTGTGGTATGTCACATGCCCATCTGCTTCACTCCCCATGCTCACCAAATCATTTTTTTAAGTTCCTCCTAAAATTCTGCAGACCAATTGTAAACACTCATTTCTGATGCTACATAAAGTTGAAAAAAGCAATTATTATCGAGTTAGGCCTTTCTTAATATAAATAATTATTCAACAGAAATGTTCATGAATGACTTCCATTATTTGAAATACTCACTGCCAATTAACTTCGTCACCTTCAATTTCAATGCTGCCACTTAATTTAGTTAAAGGAGAATTTCAAAAATATTGTTAACCAGATTTTTACAGCGCCAACTGATATCCATAACAGTTGGATATAATACCACTAACTTCAGTTGGTTACTGGAATTATCCATAAAACAAATCTGATGAAAAAAAATTCTTGAATATATTTTTTTTTCACAGGACATCAAGGAGCGGGTGAGGGATCTCTTGAACAGGCAAGAGGAAGAGGTGGTGGAAATGGAGGGGTGCGTGGTCGCACTCTTCGTAATGAAATTATTTTCACCAGGCCCAAATCATTGAATACCAAACAAGGTGAGATGAACCATCAACATTTTTTCTTTTTTTTTATTGAACATGAAAACCCAAATAAAACATCACAAATACTATAAACTAATTTGGAAGTTTTCAGCTCCTTCCAAAAATATTAACAGCAGTATTTATGTGGCTAATTCTTCTATGAATCTCGAGCTAGTGTTATATATAAGTGCAACTCTATCTTCTGGAATATATATTCTAAAATATCAGTACTAACATATGTTGTGTTGACATTTAAACATGATAACAATATTGAGATATCCTTCACTATGTAAAGCTTTACAAGGCATATCTCCATTTCAATACTCTTCATTTCTTCTGATTGTTTATATAAGTAATGTTGAAAAATATTAATTACCCTCTTTGAAGCCAAGTAAGTTTTATGTATAATATGTTGTCTTCTCTTTTTTCTATAGTAAAACCAATAATGATTGAGTAGTACGGCAGACGTTGCGGTCTACCGTTCACTAACCCAATCATGGAGTACAACTTAATGGGACCTTAAGAATATCATTCTTGAATATTATCTACATATAAAATGAGGAATTACGACATCGCCCCATGGTCGAGAGATTTTTTACAGTAGAAATTATACAAAACTCTCATTTTTCGATATGTCCGCAAAAAAGCTGTGTAACAAGAAAACTATTACAGCTAGAAAGACAAATGAGAGCTCATTTTGTAGCCTGAAGTATTGCCGATCGAATATTATATAATCCATTTATATTTGATCAGGCGAACTTATAGAAATTTCACCATTTCGAAATACTATCTCGATCATTCAACCTTTGATGAATCTTCATCAATCAAAATCTCGATCATTTGCTAAGTTGACTGTATCATATTTTTGTTCCAAAAACTGCGGAATTTCATAAGGAATATTTCATCTCGATTAATGGTACTGATATTCCCAACAGTTTTTCTTCTAGAACCGATTAACTAGAAGAGCGCACCACAGTCTACGCGTTGCGGCAGTGCACAAATATACCATTCTAAGCGTACCCGGTCAGTCAGACATCTAGTCCCCTTGCGCTTAGAACTTATTCATTAATCAAATGAGCTTATTATTTATTCACTGTTATATTTTTGCGAAAATCTAGATATGGTAGGCAATTTATATTTGTATATACTTATTTATATGTAGATATTTTCGAATAAATAGTTTATAGTCACCGATGCAAATTAGATTGTAATAAAAACTTATAATATACAAAACAGTAATAAGGTATTCTTTATTAATTATCTTCTTCGTCAGGTTTTTCAATATTGTTGCAACGTGCTTTGCATTTACAATCATCACAGCAAAACACACCCTCTGTTNGCCAATCCGATCATCAGTGAAGTTTAAAATTTTAAATCGACTAACGGTTTTCCAAAAACTAATAGCGCGCACTTCGGTGAATCTGTCTTTGATAAAATTCAGGTTTTCAGTTTTGGCTCTCTCCTTGAAAGTATCAAGCGACATTTGTATATTCTCTGGCATTATTTTACCAGTTGCTATGTGTAAAAGGTCTTTTATAAGGTTGGATGTATCAAATGGATTCATCCACGTAGTTTCTATCAATGATACCATTTTTTTAACATCAGTTTCATCTCGTAATCTCTCGGCTTGGCCATATCTGAATGATGTTTCCTTAAATACCATTCGCTCCAATTTGTTAACATATTCACCAACAAGGTACCTTGTTATCAGCAATCTACAGTGTTCCTTCCTGTTTTGTGAATCCAATCACTCCCCCAGAACTCTTACAATCCCTATTAACAGTTTGCTCTAGTGCCATGTCGGATGCAACACAATTGAATTTTTTGTTATTTGATCTCTTAACGACAAAATTTCCTTGATTAAAATAATCATACATCTGTGGATGTTTCTTTTGTAAATCTTTCATTTCGATAAGGTAAACAGGTGTGTATTTAACATAATTATGACGACCTCCTGCCCTCAAGAATGGTAACGTCTCTTCAACAGCTGATAAATGGAGTTTGAAATCTGCATTCCTTTCTGCTCTTTGAAGGGCCATAAGAATGTCAACTGCTTCTAAAAATGTGCACCAATACTTGGAAAGTTGGCGACATGCTACATCCATATTCCTTAAACTCAGTGACGATACTTTCAAATTCTTCAAGTCTGTCCATCACTCCTGAAATTGATTCCACGTGATATTCTGAGTCAGATGTCGGTTCCATAAGACAAAGCTGATAAATGGAGTTTGAAATCTGCATTCCTTTCTGCTCTTTGAAGGGCCATAAGAATGTCAACTGCTTCTAGAAATGTGCACCAATACTTGAAAGTTGGCGACATGCTACATCCATATTCCTTAAACTCAGTGACGATACTTTCAAATTCTTCAAGTCTGTCCATCACTCCTGAAATTGATTTCACGTGATATTTTGAGTCAGATGTCGGTTCCATAAGACATTTTTCCATGTTTTCAAGGAGATCTAAGAATGATTGATCAAATAAGGATGCATCGCGATTTTCACTCATCCAAGTCATCAATGATTTGTAAAATAATCTGGAGAGGGCATCTCCAACTAAAATCATAGCCCAAATACCACGGGAATATTGCTTTCCTTGCAAAAGTTGTCTGCATGAATTTTCAGCGTAAACTTCCGACTCAACTAAAATATTGGCCAATCCATCTCCAAATTATATTACCAATACTAGCAATGAAGGTCATCATCAAATGCATCCCACCAAGTTGCATAGTGACTTTATTGTGAAGCTCAGGGGGTTGGTTCCACAGTATTTCTTGTGCTTTACTATAGATCGCAAGATCTGCAGCAACTATAATGTGGTTCTGTTTCAAGGATTCTGATAATTTCACCAACTGTATGAGCCCTGTGTAAATGGTATCGTACGAAGAGGGAGGTGCGTTTATGAATGGTAGATAATATATGTTTGAAATATCCAAGTTGTTTTGTGATATTAAATTATTGAATTCATTCCAGCCAATGAATGTTTCAGATTTTTTCAGGTACCTGAGAAGCTGCCACAGATTGTCTAATGTCAATTTTTTTTCTGATTCACTTTTAAAATATGAATTCACGACACTGTCACTAGAACGGGTGGGTTCAGGTCGTTTGATTGGTNACAATCATCACAGCAAAACACACCCTCTGTTGGTCGATGGTTTCTTCATTCTGGTCGAAATTGTCAATGCTAGCATGTATGAAATTATTAACATTTTCTGCTTGAAATTTATCAGTTTTTTACTTCTAACTGCTTGATACACATATAATGACATACTCAAACCGAAACTTGTAGGAATATGTATCTTATCAAAATTATTAATTATGGCAGAACATGTAGCTAGAACTGGCGTGGTACAATAAGATTCAATTTTCTGTTCCGCATTATCGAAACTATTTTTATCTAGGATCCATTAAACGAATCTCAATAAATCTTCGGGAAAATCTTTTCCGAATTCCTCCTCGCTCAATGCATCAGGTGTTATATATTTTTTGCGCGATTCTTCAGAATATTGAGAATGCGCAATAATCTTTCTTCTTAGTATACCAGCAGCTTTATGTAAAATACAAGTTTCATTGTCGTTGAAGATCATTTCATTGAAATCGGTCATTTCAGAATCACTACTTGTCGTATGTACTTCAGATTGCAAATTGTGTCTTTCATTATTTATATCTCCCGCTGATATAATTGTCGACTTGTCAGGTTTAGAATCAAATGAAATTCTTTCACCGAAGTGACCCTGTATCAATCTTCTCAGATTTCCACTAGTGATTACCTTGTCACCTGTTGTATTGGAATGGATTCTTTCAAATTTCTTGCATAGTGTATTCATATACATAGGCTTCCTGTCAATGATGACAGACTGGTTTATCTCACCATAAAAATTATTGAGTGCTTTATGTTCCTCAGTTTGTTGCTCTACATCTTTGGGTCTCGAGTATTCCACATTTTTCCAACCAATATAAGTCGAATAACACAATCGATGATATTTCGCATCATTAGCAAATAAATCAGTGAAATACTCCAAATGTCCTTGCATCTTCAAATCCTCTCTACATCTAGCAGCATTCAAAATTTTCGTCCTGGTGTTTTCACCCGTTCCCGTACTGATTTTTGTAAGACCCTGTTTTTTTTAGTACCGCCTTTCTCGCAGATCAAACAGTCGGTTTTTACATTGAACGAGTCATCATTCTGTCTACTGGTAGATGGCTGATTAGATTCTTCATTTGAATTTATTCTGATATGAGCCATGTGAAATAAATAAAAAATGTGTATGAATATTTTAACTAATTGTACTAAGAATTTTTCTTTCATTCTTAACCCTCTCAAAAATTAATAAGCACGCCCTGATTTGCTGTCAACTGGGCTTACTTCTACTCTCAATCATTATTGGTTTTAGTATAGATATGTTTCAGTGTTGTAAGAAATTTATCAAATTGCTAAGTGGAACCATATCTTTATAGATGATCTTTTAGTAAACAAACTTGTACAGCTACCAAGAATTATCAGAATTTAATTTCGTATATTTTTAGGAGAGATTATTTTTTGACAAAGAAAGGTTTTGATTCTCTACTTCAATCAATCAATTTCAAAAAAGTTAACTCTATACAAAGATGTGTAGATCATGCAAAGAAGTAACTTTCAGATGCAAACTGAAAGAAAAAGCAGTCTCGATACAGCTACTTTCATATAAACATTGAATTATACAAAAGAAATATACTTTTACTTCTGTAATGAACAATGAATTATACAATAAACACTTTTCCCTATTCAGTTGATATTACAAAAATTCGTTATATTCGTGAATCAGATATCATTACTACACAATATAGTAAATAAAAAGAAATAAAATTTCACTTACATGGAACACTGGCATCCTCACTGGTATACATCAGATGTTTCACTACAAGACACTTGCCTTATCAGCTCTTTAGTACCAAATCTGGATAACATTTTAAGAAAAAAACACTCATTAAATTCACTATGATTATTTACCTCAATGAATGATAACAAAAAACCGTTGAAGGCTAGGCAGCATTTACAGAGACTGAATAATTTCACATACTTCTCAAAATTGGGATTGTGAAACTGAGTTTTGAGTTTATATTATCATCTCCCTTCCTGAAAAGGATCTTAAATATGAATGAATTGAGTATTTTTTCTTATAATGTTATCCAGTTTTGGTACTGAAAAGATGATGAGACAAGTGTCTTACGGCAAAACATCCGATGTCTACCAGTGAGGATGACAGTGTTCCATGTAAGTGAAATTTTACTTCTTTCATTTACTATATTGTGTAGCAATGCTGTGAATGACCTGATTTAATTCCATAACGCATGTTTGGAATACAAAAAAGTGTTTTTTAAATAATTCAGTGTTCATATAAAAGTATTTTTCTTTCTTATATGAAAGTGGCTGTTTCTGGAGGACCTTTTCTTTCAGTTTGTGTATGAAAGTAACTTGTTTGCATGATCTGCACATTTTTGTACTGAGTAAACTTTTTTTAAATTTCTATTTTTTTCCATGACAAAAGTGGTACAGTGTCCAAAGTGTTTTTGTATAATATAAATACAGCCTGTTTATCTCATCAGATCATCAGCCTCTTGAAATTTATGTAATTTTTTAGGTACGAGTGGGAAGCCAGTTATGCTCATGTCAAATTATTTCCAACTAATGAAAGCTGGGAAATGGGGTTTATTTCAGTACAGAGTAGATTTCAATCCTGATGTAGACCACACTGGCCACAGAAAACGTTATATGAGTACGGCTATGCGAGGATCGGGCATTAATGGATACCTATTTGATGGCACAGTCATGTACACTACACAGAGAATCCACCCTGATCCATTGGAAAAACTTGTGGACAGCGATACAGGAGAAAGATTTCGAATAACTATTAGACTTGTTGGTGATGTTGCATGGGGAGACTATCACTATATACAGTTATTCAATATTATAATAAGGAAATGTCTCACATTCATGAAGTTCCAGTTAGTAGGCAGACAGTACTTCGATCCTACAAATAGGGTAATGAGATAAAATAATTTATATTCAGATTCACTTCATTATGTATTTGAAAAATGTAATTCTTCTCTAGAGTATGCCGAAAGACCAATTTGTTACAATAAGATTCTAAACTGTCCATCATATAAAACGCTACGTTTTAGGATGCCCTAACAATTGTTCAATGGATACTTTAGCTTGAATTATGTGCTCTGATGCAATCCAACATGGAAATATTGGAAAATCACCAGAGTCATAAAACCTGTACTATGAATTTGAAAGAGGATACTTTTTAGGACAGATTAGTTTTTCGGAAAAGTTTTTGACTTTCTACTACTTTATCTTCAAACAAAAAACATGGTAATTTTTCGAAGTTAGGAAGAAAGCAATTAAGTTCAAAATAAACATCTTTACAAAGATGTGTGGATCATGCATGTCATAAAGTTGTAATTTTTTGTGTTTTCTTCTTCGAAAGTTCAAAGAGATGCTAATGAGGGTGTTCAACCCAACACTTCGAAAAGTACACCTTAAGGATGATAAATTGTAATATAAGTGAAATTTTGTATCAACGCTTTCATATATAACATTGTGTGGCATTTCTGTGAATCACCTAGTTATTGACAATTTCATAACGAATGTTGGAAGTAAAAACAGAATGAGAAATTTTCGTGTAATTGTTCATATGTATCAAATCAGTTGTTTCAAATGGACTTTTTCTTTCAGTTTGTATCTGAAAAAAAATTATGTGCATGATCTAGAGGTCTTTGTAAATAGTTTATTTTGACCTTAATTGCTTTCTTCTTTCTATTTGAAACTTCACATTTTTATTATAAAGATGGCTAAGTTGAAAACCAAAAAGCCTTTTCTCCCACTAAGAATATTCATTAAAATGTCGGAGAGACTTTAACGATAAGTTTTCAGAAATTGTTTATATGCTGTCATAACAAGTACTTCCTTAACTTACATCACCGGGAACATTTGGTTGAGAGTGGACCTATCACATCTTGATACAATTCTCATTCCTATATTTTTTTTAATTTCTGCAAATGAGTACAAGAGTACTGAATGATATTTATTATTAAATTTATTTGAAATGATATACTCCACTAATGTCAAATAATTTTCTTCTTGGTTTATTTTGATTGATAGTAATTTCTTTTTGATTCTTTATGTATATACATTTTGTGTGTTTGTTATTTAACTATTGTAAAGGTTTTAAAAGAGAGGAATTGGCTATTGCTCAAACTGATCTGAGGCATTGAAGATTTTAATAAATTAAAGAAAAAAATCCTTTTTTTTTTTTCTAATATTCAAATTGAATAAATTTCTCTCATAAAATACACCTACAAAAGGTGCATTTTTTTCTGAGCCAACCAATATGTGAATGCAAGATAACTAGTTATCTTAATTTGTAATTCCCTTTTTTTCTTTAATTCTATCATATTATTTAAATTGAGGAAAACTTATCTGAATTTGTTTTGTATATAATTTCGTATAGCGAGATTTATCCAAATTTAAATGTAACTCATGAGATCCCAACCAGAAAGATATTAGTTGTAAGAGTTCTAAAATGTATTTTTCAGTTATATTTATATTTTTAGAGAAGTAAATGAGGGTTATGTCTCCAGCAGAAAAACTAATAGAACCACATAAATTTAGCTCTGTAACAGAATTGCTATAAATTATAGAATTGAAGCTAGCACAGAAACTTGTGGAACTTCACACTTATGGTTTTTGATAAACTCTTTATCAGAAATATTATTATATTATGTATTTATAAAGGTCATTCTTTTTTTTCCAGGTTGCTATTCCCGAATTCTGTTTAGAGTTGTGGCCTGGATTTGTAACTTCAATGAGACAACATGAAAATGATATTTTGTTGAATTCTGATCTAACATTCAAAGTTATGAGGCAAGACAATGTCTATGATCTAATGTTGGAATGCAGGTCTTCAAATCATCGTGCAGAATTCCAATCGAAAATTATAGGCAGTGTAGTTTTGACATATTACAACAATAAAACATACAAAATCGATGACGTCGATTTTCATACATCTCCCGCCTCCACATTTCCTAGAAGAGATGGAAGCAGTATTTCATTTGTTGAATATTACAGAACTCGTTATAACATCAACATACAAGTATTACGATTCTTTTATTCAATTTTTGAGACTTGTTGATAATATTAATTTTTCAGGTGTTGACACAACCTATGTTAGTTTCGCGAAGTAAACCACGAGAAATTAGAGCCGGCATGCCTGAAACTGTACTTTTGATACCCGAACTTTGTCAACTGACTGGTCTTACGGATCGCCAAAGAGAAAATTTCCAGCTGATGAGAGCATTGGCGGATCATACACGAGTTGGCCCGGTCGGACGAATTGCGAAGTTACGAGAATTCAGCAACAGAATGCAAAATTGTCCAGAAGTTATACAAGAACTTCGAAACTGGGACCTTAATCTTGCTAAAGATTTGATTAGGTTCCAAGGTCGATCACTTCAGCAGGAGACTATTCTTGGTGGTAAGCATTTTTCTGAATGTATAATAAATATAAATTTCAGTTTTAACTTTTGAATATGTGATATGAGAACTGACCCCACCTATGAAGGAAATAAACAACAAATCATTCGAATGTGGAATCTTTCCTGATAATATCAAATCAAATCAAAATATACTTTATTGTCCGAAGATTTGCATCTTATTGACAAAGTCCAAGAAATACAATGTTGATATAAAAAAATATAAAATTTGGCATATGGATATAAAATTGCCGTAGACACAACTTTTTCAAGTAACTTTTTGTTGAATTCGATCTAGAAATGCACTTTTTCAATAATAAAAAAAAAAGTTGAATTTGACAAACACTGAACGTCAGTGGGTCGCAGTTAGCCGCATCATTTCAGGTTAAATTTAAAGCACAAACAAGTGCCGAAGTTGAACTTCGTTGAAACTTTTCGAAAAAAAAGTTTCCCATATGGTGCGCACTTTAATGGTGACACTGTATAAATAGATCAAAGATTATCATTTAGTATCCAATTTTTGTTTTGCAGGGCGTGAAGAAACCCTTCACCGAAGTCATCAAAGCCAACATCGGTGACTGTCACGCGATGGGTCAGAAGCCCATTACTTTCATCAGGCAGGTCCTGGCGTTGGTCGGCTACCCCAAGCTCCTGGACGATCCCCATTTCCCCGAAGACGCAAAACAGAGGGCGAGGACGATCCTTGCAGGTTGCAGAGGAGGTTCCGTCGGTTCCTATACCGATTCTCCCGGAATCGAGGTGATCAGAAGGCATTGCGCGGAGTATATAGAAAGAAGAGACGGAATTCCCGCGAGTTGGGAGAACATTGTTATTGGAGGAGGTGAGATACCGTTGTGTCAAGGTTCTATTTGATTCATGTATACGGATATACGCAAGCAGATTTTCATTCCAAATTAATGAATTCAAATCCCGTACCTGACACCAAAAGTGTTTTCAGCGCACTATATTTCTTTTACAATATCTTCTTGAGAACTAGGACTACCTGTAGATTTCGAATGTTCAATTATTTGTTTTTCAAACCACGTACCAAGTACCTTCTGTGAAGTAGAACATCTGTAACTTAAATATACACAATGCATTTTAAAAATATATTAAAAAATAGTAATCGTCAGAGCGAAGCAACAATGGTTCAAGTTAATTCATTACCGACTATGTGTTATCTATAGGTTCGACAGAAAATTTGAACCCAGTTCTTCGGGATGGAGTTAAATTGCTGTAGGTTAAATTAATTTTGAAAAATAAGGTTTATGATGCACTGTTTGGAACCTTTGGTGTAGTAATGAATATTACTGCAGTTTTTTCCCAACACCAAATCGTTATTTTCAACATGAGGTGTTAAAAATAACGATTTGGTGTTAAAAAAAAACTAGTAATATTCAAAAATAAGGTTGTCTAACTGGATAAGATTTTCAATAGGAGCTATACCAGCAGGGACAAAATTTTCATTAGAACTTTCATGAGCAAGAGTTGTCAATAATGCACATATCTCATCGTAAGAACATCCATACCCGAAGTGATAAAGTGTATTTATCAGTTTTTTACTTCTAACTGCTTGATACACATATAATGACATACTCAAACCGAAACTTGTAGGAATATGTATCTTATCAAAATTATTAATTATGGCAGAACATGTAGCTAGAACTGGCGTGGTACAATAAGATTCAATTTTCTGTTCCGCATTATCGAAACTATTTTTATCTAGGATCCATGAAACGAATCTCAATAAATCTTCGGGAAAATCTTTTCCGAATTCCTTCTCGCTCAATGCATCAGGTGTTATATATTTTTTGCGCGATTCTTCAGAATATTGATAATGCGCAATAATCTTTCTTCTTAGTATACCAGCAGCTTTATGTATAATACAAGTTTCATTGTCGTTGAAGGTCATTTCATTGAAGTTGGTCATTTCAGAATCACTACTTGTCGTATGTACTTCAGTTTGCAAATTGTGTCTTTCATTATTTATATCTCCCGCTGATATAATTGTCGACTTGCCAGGTTTAGAATCAAATGAAATTCTTTCACCGAAGTGACCCTGTATTAATCTTCTCAGATTTCCACTAGTGATTACCTTGTCACCTGTTGTATTGGAATGGATTCTTTCAAATTTCTTGCATAGTGTATTCATATACATAAGCTTCCTGTCAATGATGACAGACTGGTTTATCTCAGCATAAAAATTATTGAGTGCTTTATGTTCCTCAGTTTGTTGCTCTACATCTTTGGGTCTCGAGTATTCCACATTTTTTCGACCAATATAAGTCGAATAACACAATCGATGATATTTCGCATCATTAGCAAATAAATCAGTGAAATACTCCAAACGTCCTTGCATCTTCAAATCCTCTCTACATCTAGCAGCATTCAAAATTTTCGTCCTGGTGTTTTCACCCGTTCCCGTACTGATTTTTGTAAGACCCTGTTTTTTTTTTAGTACCGCCTTTCCCGCAGATCAAACAGTCTGTTTTTACATTGAACGAGTCATCATTCTGTCTACTGGTAGATGGCTGATATTAGATTCTTCATTTGAATTTATTCTGATATGAGCCATGTTTTGTTTGCTGCAAAACGTTTTTCTGCAATTATAATGATATCAAAATCGATCTGGGTGAGACAACAGAGAAGTTTCCTGCGCTATGATTTTCAGAGAATTTTCATCGTTCCGATTTTTTGCGCATCTTATAATTGTATCCATACCATAACGTGTTGGCTTTTTCACAACAGCCTCCTCTTTTGACGACTCGAAGTCTGCCCCACATATGATACAATAATCCATTTTTAGGTTATGTATCTCTACAAACATATATCTATTATTGCTATAACCTGCTATACCGAAAAAATAACTATTAAACTAAATACTATAAATCTTCAGAATGGTCTACTCACCAATCAGTAATTCAAAGAATGCCACAACACTTATGTTTATTGCATCTGACAGTAAAGACACCTCATACACATAAACTTCTCAAATGTAATGACTGAAATACTTAATTGGCGGTATTTTCGCGCGGTATTATCGCGGAAGCTCGTCCCGAGAACCGGGCAGCGGGCGGTACAAGGGTGCAGTAAAACGCTTATATTGGGAGATCCGTTCAAAATAGATCTTCACATAATTGAGACGAAATGATCGTTATGAAATTCCGCAGTTTTTTATATAAAAAAATAATATCGATTATTGATCGAATAAGGAACTTATTGGGTGTTGAAGCGAACGGAAATGTGTTGAAAAAGCACAATCCTCCTACTATTTTGACTTTTTCTCTTATTCCGAAAGTAATAAAAACATATCTTTCTATACTGATAGGAAGCCAAATAATTTCTCTAGATAATGAAAAAACTTCATTTCCCTATCGTATATAATAGTCGAAATATATCAATTTTATTAGAGAAAACTGAAAATCTTTTCACATTAATATCAATATTTTTTCTCTCGACCAATGGAGAGTGTCGTAATTCTCCATTACACATGTAAAAATAATGGATTCAACATTATTTCAAGGTCCTATCAAGTTGTACTCTATGATTGGGTTACTCGATAAATAGAAGGCTTTTCGCAAGGAATCTGCTAAACTAAATGGCAATGAAGATTAAAATTGATGCTGCATAAAACACCTTTGATACTTGAATACCATTTAGATACTAATAATCGTGCAGTACCGTGGTTTGATATCTAAATGCGATTTCAGTTATAATTATGTATTTCTACATGGGAACATGATAAAAAAATCAACTGTATTCATTGAAGTTTTTATTTCAAATTTCTGAACAATGAAATGTCAACGCATATCTACATAATAACTATTTTTAGGTGCTAGCGATGCCATTAAGAATGTCCTGAAATTGCTGATATGTCCAATAAACGGCAAAAAACCCGGGATCATGATTCCCATTCCTCAATATCCATTATATTCTGCTACTTTGGCGGAATTCAACATGCATCAAATAGGATATTACTTGGACGAATCGAAAAATTGGGGATTGACGATTTCCGAATTGGAGGTAAGATTATTATTATATAAATAGAATACATGTTTTGTTGCTGGTTGGAACAGGTTTTTTCCTTCGGATGAATGAAATATATAGAATGGGCTTTTGTGTCTTTGTTTTGGTTGGAAAATATACACTTGTTTATTGAAAGACAGGGGACAGAACGATGAGTATTTCAATGCATTGATTTATACATTTACCATATTTACTCAGAAATGATTGTATATGTTTCTATGAGTACCAGACGTTCCATGATTGACATTGTATAAATTATAAAAAAAGAAGACGTACAATTACTGTGACTAATTGTAAAACTTGAAAATTTCACCACTTGGAAATCTGTGAAATGGTAATTCACTATTCTTTGTGTTATTACTACAATATAATACGCCAAAAAGTTTTTCATTCACATCTACAATAATCACATATATTATTATTATACTTGTGTTTATAAATTTTTTGTCTTTAAACGACATGAGTGATTGAAACTTTGTTTATATACTTGGCTTTCTTAACATCGCATACAATTTGGAAAGTAATTTTATGTAATATATATGTTTCCAATCGAGGCATTTTCCAGCAATACCAATGTTTCGAGAATGGAAAGGAATTACTTTCCGAAACTTAAAGGCTAGATATATAAAAAATAATCATTTATTTTATTCACCATCGACAGTAAACATTATAATTAGTAGTGGTAAATGTAACAGGTAGACGGTACTATTTTTATATCAAGTAAGTGTTCAAAACATGTTTTCATAGTCCTTACTGGATCCTAAAGTTGCCATACTCCGCGCATTTGATCATTTTAGGTACTAATGCTATGCCTTACATTCTAGCGAGCTATCACCGAAGCCAAAAAGGTATCCGCACCTAGAGCGATTGTCATAATCAATCCAGGTAATCCTACAGGGCAAGTTCTGACAAAAGAAAATATCGAAGAAATTGTTAAGTTTGCATATAAGGAAAGGTTATTCATTTTTGCCGATGAGGTGTACCAAGACAATATCTATGCAGAAGGCTCGAAATTCCATTCTTTCAAAAGGGTGAGTACTATTTGTGTGTATCGTTGTGTTTGTTTCTACATCATCCAAGAATCATTTTGAACTGTCCCCCAAAAAGTTGTCTTTGACTTGTACAAGTTCTTGTAAACTTTTTTCAATCATTTCAACTTGCTTTGGTGGGACAAAAAATATATAAACAGGCACTCAATTGTCGTGCGACAAAAATTATATTTTACGCTTCCTTCGAACTCATTGGCAACCTTAAAATGTCATTACACAGGTTATGCATGATATGGGCGAACCCTACAACAAAATGGAGCTGGCCAGTTTCATGACGGCTTCGAAAGGATACATGGGCGAGTGCGGTCTTCGAGGAGGCTACGCTGAAGTCCTCAACATGGACCCCGACGTAAAAAAGCAGTACTTGAAAGCTATCACCGCCATGCTGTGTTCCACCGTCTTCGGGCAAGCTACATTGGATTGCGTCGTCAACCCGCCGAGGAAAGGAGAACCCAGTTACGAGCAGTTCATGAAGGAAAAGAATGCCGTTCTTGGATCGTTGAAGGTTAGTTGAATTTGTGAATTCTTGGTTGAAATATAATGTGTGCAAGATGACTGGAGGAATGTCTTTAAATTCATAGAACGTTTACGACAGTATTAAGGTGTTTCTAACTCAAAATGGCGGCCCTTTTGGCGGGAAAAGTACTATCCGAGCCATGTGACCACGGACACGATCACGAAGTCATCTTTCAGAGCTATGAAAACTGTCATCTGTCAGTTTCCGAACCACGAACTGTCAGACAACAACAGATGGAAGATTTTTTCTTACAAATTTGTCTCGACGAAATTTTAGGTGTGAAATCTTCTAATACATTTTCCAAATATTTTTTGAAGATTTTCAACTTCAATTTCATTTCATTAAAATATTTCGAATACAAGAAGTACATATGGGAAACAGTTTTTCATTGCATGGGTGATTCCATAAGTATGTGGAATCACATAATAAAGTCTATAACATATTGAATACAACTATTTTGACTATCCAACAATACCTTTATTTCTTGATAAGAAAAGGAGGAGAAAGAAAAGGTTTCAATAATTATACATGGTGACGTTTCAAAATTTTTATCCACAATCGCCTTCTGAAAAAAGTAACTAATTGGGTGATGTAACTAGATTAAGACAACATGACACATCCGCTTGTTTCACTGCAGGAATTGAAAGTCATTTTGAGGCTATAAAAGTGATTTCTGGCAGTTTTCAGTCACTAACAGCTGAAGTTATATTTTTTGGAACCTCAAAAATATTAGAGTAGTATCTGCAGCATGAAGTTAGATTAGATAAACCATAAATTTCACAAACTACACCTAATGATTTGATCTTCACAAACTTCATTTTCAAAAATATAACGACACATTTCGTTACTACAGTAGTTTTTTTTATAGTGAATAACATATATTATTCACAGTCAGCGTGACTGACTTCTGATGCTGAGTGTATGAATTTTACTCGAATATATTCCCCATATAAATTGATTGTGGTTGTTGTTGGATGTAACACTAAAAACTTCCCATGTACAAAGTAGATAGTTGGCAATGCCGGGATAAAGAAGGAAGTTGCAGTGTTGTCAACCGTAGCGGAATTCCGCTACCGTAGCGAAATTTACTCGACAATAGCGGCGTAGCGGATTTGAACAGAAAGCAGTGGAATTTTCTACGAATTGAAAAAAAAAGGAAGAAGAATAGGCACTCGAAGCTGACAATGCACAGGCAATACGTAATAGTCTTAGTAGCTGAGGACATGATGAAAGAGAAGAAGAAGATATTTGAATATTTTTTTCATATAAACTCCAATATTTTGAAACTAAAAGACCAAAAGTCTCGTCGTAACGTCGTATATATACCTTTGATCTCTTATATGTACGTATTCATAATAAAATTGTAATGATCTTCTATAATAAATTCAATTCAAAAATCAGTATTTTAAGCTAAGGAATATTTGGTTCAGTTTAAGTACCATTTACTTAGTTGCGCGGTTGAAAGTGAGCATAATCCTGATTCCTGACAGTTCCAGTTTTGTGTACCTGAACGGTACACAAACTGGTGGTATTCAATTTTGGGTAGGGTGCATGCGTCAGATAAGCAGTGTAGCGGAATTTTGCTTCATGTGTAGCGAATTCATACTTCATCCAGTTGGCAACACTGGAAGAATTATTATATTTATAATTTTATTATAGGACTGTTACAACCACTCTTTTTACTTCTCTAAGTCTCCCAAAATTGAAATATAGAAATAAGAAAGAGGAATCAGTAGAATTACTCACAAAACATAAAAGTCTGTTGGGAATAACTGAATGTTTATTATTATCATTGATCAGCTTATTTTGAGTGCTGTGTCTATTGAAATATAATGCTTTATTTCATCTATTCTCTCCAAAACAAGTGTGCAAACCAGACTTGCTTGTGAAATATCAAAACTTTTTGTAAGAACAGTATATGAAACGAGAACGCTCATTATAATCATTGTTATAATTACAGGAAAGAGCGAAAATGGTAGCAGACACGTTCAACTCGATCGAAGGATACAGTTGCAATCCCGTCCAAGGCGCTATGTACGCGTTCCCTCAAATTCGCTTACCCCCCAAAGCAATAGAGGCCGCCAAAAAGAAGGGACAAGCCCCCGATGCGTTCTACGCTTTCGAATTGCTGGAATCAACGGGGATCTGCATCGTTCCAGGATCAGGTTTTGGCCAGCAACCAGGCACCCACCATTTTCGCACTACAATCCTGCCGCAAACTGAAAAATTGAAGGTTATGTTGGAGAAGTTCAGAGAGTTCCACGCCGACTTTTTGAAGAGATATAGTTAAGTGAATAGTCGATATTAAGTTTTAACTGTGATTTATTTTTTTAGAGGTATGTCCTGCTTTTCGTTTTTGATCAATTTGATCTGATCAATTCTATTACATTCTAAAATGTTAGAAAAAACCTATTTATTCATAGTGTATATATTAATCACATTTGACATTTATACAAGCAATTGACCTTATGACTCTGTAATTTCTTGGTCGTTGTTGAAAATATACCTGAAAATTTCAGTTTTTAATGTATTTTGTTTATATTATCCACTCCTTTATTTACTGGAACCTGAACCTGACTGAAAATTCCTTTACATGGGCAAGATATCTAGAAGATGATAACAAGAACCTCCATAAAACAGAAGAAAAGTTAAAACCCAGAATAGATAACCCTTGAACAATTTTCTTTATGAAACTAATATTTCAACATATTTTTGAATTAGCGACTTTGGAATACTGCAGAAATTTGACTGTTAGCACTATTAGGTAAGGTCCTTTTTCAATAAGAAAAGAAGATGACGTAAGAAACCTTCATTATCATAGACAGATATTTTACAGAATAGTGTGGAGACACTGAAACGATGAGTGATCAACATTCTGTGACATATAATCTTTGTAGGAGTGTGGGGATATTTTTCCCCCACTCCAACACAGCATATTTTTCGCCTCAATCATTCAATATCATTTCACCTTTGTATATAGACTAACCAAANTTTATTATTTCAAATTGAATATTTCACTGGTAGGAATAAATGGCGACATCTTTTGACGTTTCGGAAAAGTTCTAAATTTTTTTCATTACTAGCAATAATCTCAAACATTAAATTTGATTTCACTGAACAACTTTTAAATTTACTGAAAATCAAAAAAGCTTTATGAATTTTACGACAGATGTCACCACTTTCGCACAACGACTGTGTTCTTAACCTAAATCTATAAGTTGATATTGCCCCTCACTCCAGTCAGTTCATTGCAGATATGGGTGGGGGTATTTTCCATTCATTTGTAAGTGAAATGACTGAAACTTGCTTGTAACAGAAAATATTGAAATTCAACTTTTCAATACACTTTTGTAGAGATAGTGTCCGTCTAAAATAGTTGTGATATATCCCTCCCACCTTCCCATTTAAAGCAACTCAATTTTTTCAAATTGAATATTTCACTGGTAGGAATAAATGGCGACATCTTTTGACGTTTCGGAAAAGTTCTAAATTTTTTTCATTACTAGCAATAATCTCAAACATTAAATTTGATTTCACTGAACAACTTTTAAATTTACTGAAAATCAAAAAAGCTTTATGAATTTTACGACAGATGTCACCACTTTCGCACGACGACTGTGTTCTTAACCTAAATCTATAAGTTGATATTGCCCCTCACTCCAGTCAGTTCATTGCAGATATGGGTGGGGGTATTTTCCGTTAATTTGTGAGTGAAATGACTGAAACTTGCTTGTAACAGAAAATATTGAAATTCAACTTTTCAGTACACTTTTGTAGAGATAGTGTCCGTCTAAAATAGTTGTGATATATCCCTCCCACCTTCCCATTTAAAGCAACTCAATTTATTATTTCAAGTTGAATATTTCACCGCTAGGAATAAATGGCGACATCTGTTGATTTTTCGGAAAAATTTGATTTTTGAAAATTGTAAAATAGCATCAATCATTTAATATGATTTCACAGAAAAACCTCAAAGTTCATTGAAAATCAAAAAAGCCTTGGAATTTTATGGCAGATTTAACTACTTTCTCACTTTTCTTCTTAGCATAATGGGGAATGTTCCCCAATTGGGGTTATTACAGCAAATGCAAGTTTGAACAAAATAAAGTTGAGTTTAATTCATGAGTTTTTCAAATTCACTTGAAAAGTATTCAATTTGATGTTTCAAATGTTGGGTTTTAATTTTTAAAGGGATATGTTTCTAATTCAAATATTGGCAACAGCGTCTAGAATGCTAAATCGTAGTTCAGGTTAGTAGTATGCTAGAAGAAGAAGACTCATGTCAATAGTGTGAAATTAAGACAAAAAATAAATTATAGTTCAATACCACCTCCACACGCCACATAAACAACAGTTGTTTTGTTATTTATTTATATAGAGGAAGATAGGTTAGGTGCACAAAATGTCATATGTCACAGAATGTCTCGGAACTCGGAACATAAGTAAACAGAATAGCACGCCTCTGAAATATGTCATCTTTGTTTGTCTCATTCAGGTAACAGATTCATTGTCCTTTATTAGCTATAACCGATGTTGCCAAATGGTGAAATAGAAACGAATCTCTTTAAATGTTGAATGCATTATTTCATTCCTCTTTTTTAAGTATTTAAATAATTTTTCAAAGAAAAAGTTTGAAATGATAAGTTTAAAATGCGTTGTTTTAGAGCTCTTTTATGAAAACTACTTGATTTTCGTCAGGAGGAACATTCCCATTGTTTAAATTCAATGTTGCCACTTCTGTGGCAAGTATACTTCTGTTCGGGTGCCTCTCTTGACACTCTATTTCTGTCTTGGCATCTCATCCAAATGTATTAATTTATAATTTTAAACTGAACATTCCACGGTAAGTGGCGCCACCTGTTGATTTTTGTTTTGAAATGAAACACCTCTTATAAACAACTTTTATATTACTTTCTGTAAAAGAGACAATTTTGCTCCCAAAATATATGTACAAAGTTACACAGCAACTTGCAACAAGTAGAGGACAGCACTTGACTCATAGGCATTTTCTTGCAGTAAGTACATCGCTCCCATAATTTCTACTAGTCTACATACATTTTAAAAATACTCACCGTGGACATACGTATTCGTTCATTTCCATAAAACATACAATTAAATAACAATTCAATAAAATTTAAACTAATTAAAACATTATATCATCTGAGTTGTTCAAGATAAATTTCAGCAATTATAACAATATTGGACGGGCAGGTAAAACAATGGAATGTCAATGAATGTTTCTTGGTAAAATTTTCTCGGATGGATTTGATAAAACTTAAATTTTACGTTACGCTCTATATTTACAAAATCTTATTAGAAATTGGAAGATTCGTGTTTTCCTCAGATCAGTCCAAACGAATGAAGCTAGCCGTTTGGATTCGAAAATTTGCTGTTAAATCGTCATGGCACTTTGTTTATAGTCGTTTCTGTATCGGCTGGAAAAACTTCGGTGTGAACTAACTTATCTTTTGATATGTCATATCATTATACGTGTGATTTAATACCAATTTTTTGAAAGATATCTCGATGAAAGATGGTGACATATTGATTATCCGAAATGGAGTTCCCCAAGGAGGCGTACCAGAGCCTGTATATTTCTTGACGACATAAATTTGTAAGACTATGGAATAATCGTAGAAGCTATAAATGAGATAGAAAACTGTATATACATGAAATCTTTTTGAAGGTCACGAATTACATCTAAAAGAAACAGGTGATTTCAAGTGAGTATTTTTTTTACTACAGCAACCAAATATCGCTGAACCGACTATAACAATATAAACTCGATTTCGAAAACAGACGCTAGCTCCCATTCTAGTGGCTCTCGTTCACGACAACTCGATAGAAAAATATATTTTTCAAACTAGAATTTTAGATCACGCTTTAGTATGAATATTTGAAAAATAAATTACATTATTGACTATTTATAATACAAAGAAATCACTGTTGATATTACCTATAATCAACCAGAATTTGAAAAATCGGAAATTTCATTTTGTATCAGCAGTCTTCTTCTACGAGTTTTTGGGTATCTTTCCCGGTGTCTTGTGTCGCTGGATCCAGCTCTCTGTGCCTGACTTGTACTTGCGGCGAGGACATGTGTTTTACGCTCGAAGGAGCGATTACTGCGCTAGGGGGTTCTAGGAAGGTGTCACCTTTAGGTCTGCCCATATCCGACGCTACTTCATAGAGAGCTGGAAAAATATTCTTTCGTGAATTTAAATATTTGGAAGTGGTTAAAAACTGTTCCCTTTAATAATTTGTACAGGTTTTCAAGTGAAAACTTGTGCGAGCTGAAGGTTAACTAGGGATCACCTTTCATCGTCCGATTCCTAGCAAAGAATGATTGACAGTATCTTTTTTTAATGTTTTTCAATTATTTTGCGGCCAGTTGCACTTTTGGACAATTTTTTTCATGACACTGATGATTAAACATATTTTTGAATTCGCGACTTTGGAATTCTGAAGAGATTTGGCTGTTAGCGCTATTAGGTAAGGTCGTTTTTCAATAAGAAGAGAGGATGACGTAAAAAAACCTCAGAGTAACTCTGAGTAAAAAACATTCAATGTATAGACCACAGAACTATAAACTAAGTTATAGTTCTGTGGTATAGACAAATAATCAATTTCACAGAATAGTGTGGCGTGACTTCAATGATGAGGGATCAAGATTCTATGACCTATATTCTGTGTTGGATATGTCATTTTTAGTGGTAAATTCAAATTGTTTGAAACTTCTCCTCTCAGAAATATATGATTTGCATGGCACTGAAGTAGAAAATGGGTTTCAGTCTTATTTCATCAGTAGAAGGTGATGCATGTGAAAATATTGGAAGAACGAAAACAATAATCCAAATGGAGGGTTCTAGGAAAGTGTCACATTTAGGTATGCCCATATTCGACGCTACTTCATATAGGGCTGAAAAAACATTCTTTGGTAAATTTTAATTTGGACGTGGTTGGAAATCTGTTCCCTGTATTAATTTGTATAGGTTTTTCAGTGAAAATTTACTCTTGACCTCTTGTCTCCCCAACTCCTAGCTCCCTAACCTAACATAACCACACATTTTGAAAAGCGAACCCCATCTCCCTTCTAATGTACTCTCCATACTTCTTACATTAAACAATGTTGCCATTTTGAATAACTATGTAGAAATTTCATAAAAAAATTTGTCAAAGTAGCCAGTAAAGTGAATATATTCATATAGCTGAATGAATAAGAAAAATAATTACAGTGGGGATGTAAAAAGTATCTTTTTTTAACTTTCCAACAGCTCAATGTTGGACATGATTTACGTAAAAAGGAGTCATTTTCAGTACTATAGAACTAGTACTAGTGTACGGGAGATTTAGTAATATCTCGTTGGATATGCATTTCAACTCAACACCGTTTCTGAGTAATCAACAGTATTATATTCGTTTCTAGAATCTGCAAACAAACGATAAATATCATGATTTCACGAAAAAATATAATTAGAACTTTTACATTAGATTTCTCAAACCCCTGCAAAAAAATCGAAGGTCGTCAGTCATATCAGGCGATCTAGAAGGCCGTTTTAAGAGACCACGTTAACCTTACCTAATCTATTCACCGGTTCGAATAATCATATTGCCACTTTTGTACCAGCCTGTCATAATGAAGAGGTACCTCATATTGCTGAAAGGCAACATCAGTTGAAAACTTATTTGGATTTGTCAAACTGGTAGACAGGTAGATGTGGCTCATTGGAAGGGCCCCGCTAGATCACCTGATGGCACCTATGGATGGTTTAGAGGGGATACGTGACATATTATATACAGGGTATTGGTTTTATAGTCATGATATGTTGTATGGGTAGATATAGATAACGTAATTTCAAACTGTAAACTGTCATTCCATTCTGCTGCCCAACTCATAGTAGCATGTTTATTCACGGAGAAGTGTCCTAAAGTTTTGCTTCAGCAACGGGTTATATCGTTCTTGGATCAATGAAGTTTCATGAATATAGTTCAACATTCTTCAGAGTTTGGTGATTTGTATTTGATAAGTAACGTGCTTTTATTTTCCAACTGTGATTATTTGTTCGCTTCAATCTATCATTTACATCACAAATTTCAACATTATGTAGTTACTATACAAAATAGGTATATTCGCAAGGAAAGTATAAAAATTTTTGTTAGACAATATAAGCATGATATCTACGTAAGAACAGAATTTGTGACATACTATAACGAGGCAAGGCTGGCTCAGCCCTCAATGTTGTCACATTATTTTCATTACCACATGCTTTTACCAATCTTTCATACAAAAAAAGGTATTAGTCCTCAAAACCTCTTGCTACCGTATGTAAAATAGAAATATAAAGACAGCGAACACCCTGTATAGATTAATATTTTTATCCTCATTCCCTCTTTTAAAGCAGTAGACATTCGGAAATGAATAAACACCTGATTGACTGACTCGACATTTACTTGTAACCATAGAGGTTATTATCTAGAGTACATACCTCCGCTTCCATTTGCGATCGCCTCCGGATTGTTTTGTACTGCATCGTACATGGGGTTGTGGAAATCTCTATTCTTATTGCTAACAGCATCTAGATTGTAGGCTACATCATGATGATCTGCAGTTCCACCACCGTTGGTATCGAATGTATTTGCTCCGCCGAATTCTACATTCGTACCTTGTCTGAAGGAGACGCTTTGGCTGCTCGCCAAACTGCCCAATCCAGATCCCTTGCTGTTAACGAAATGTTGTAGTTAGTAGGGATTATTCCATGCTTATAAGTTATAATTCCTAATGTACTTGATTTTGTCAATTACTTCAAGCACGTTCAATAACAAAGAGTCAAGGGACCACTATGTGAAATGAGGGACTTCCTTTTGTTTCAGTATGGACCGTTCGCTATTTTTAACTTTCAGGGAGTGGAAATGTCAAGAAAAAGTGACAAAAATGTGGTATTTTCGATAAATTTCGATCACGAATTGAGACAATTGAATATTCTCACTAATTATACCGGTCGTGAGTGAAAAAAATTTAAGGGGGAAAGTGGAAAAGAAAATCAGAACCTAAAAAGTCTAGACTTTCAAAGTTTTAAGGAACTTTGACCCAGCATATGAAAAAGTTTTCACATATAAATTAGTTTTATGTTGCTTGAGCCTTAACAATTCACCTTTTCTTGTGAGATATTGTGATGCATTGAAATGATGACTTTTTCATAGTTTCTAATAGTATTTGCTAATTCATGTATGAAAATGGAATTATTTGGGGTTTTTCTTCATCAGCCTTCAAATTATTGGTTTAGTTTTGAAAAAAAAACATCCTGTACAAGTACAAGTCCTGTACAAGAAATTTTACTGTGCCCTTTTTCAATTAGCATATATGTATGTACTCACAAAGGCCTCTTCCTGATGAAGAAGTAGACTCCCATTCCCGCACACAGCAACAGCAGTATAACCACTATTGGAATCACGATGGCCGACATATTGGTTCCTTCCCCTCCCCTGCTGTGCTCGGTATGGATGTCGCAGTACTGCCCTTGGTAGTCGGGCATACACCTGCACATCAAATCGCTGTTCTCGTCCGATTCTTCGCACACTCCACCGTTCTCGCACTTGCATATTCTCGGGAGCGGCCGTTCCTTCTCGGAGGGAGAGTCGCAGTGGATGTCTGCCTTGATCTTTTGGCTGGGAGTCGAAGAGTCCGGGCATGAACATCTGTGGCCATTCGGTACGATTAGGCACAAGTGGGAGCAGTGGCTGTTTATGCATGGGTTCTGGATCGAGGTGTTGTATTTGAGATCATGGTACACTGAAAATGAAAATTGAGAGATAAAAACATAAGATTATTTTAGAGTTAGAAATGAAAACTATTGAAAACAGATGAGTAATCTGCAAAGCAGGTCCCAGAAACTGAATTGAAATGTTTGAAAGACGAAACTCGAAGGCGAAATGACTATAGTTGATCTTTCGAAAAAATAGAACTCTACATATCCAAGAAGTAGATTAGATAAAAATGATCCACACCAATTATTATAGTATAATAATACTTTAATTTCAAATTTCACAAAAAGGATTTGAAGCTTCATATCTTCTATTAATTATCTGCGAGCGCTTTTGACAGCTGGTCGTACTGTCATCTTCTAGGCACTCCTCAAACTGAACATCCTGTCGTCTGCCTCTTTATACGGTCCGAACGTCTCAACTCAGGTATTTCTGGTACTTTAGGTAAATTTGCGGGCGCAAGTTCAAACCATCCACCATCACACAAAATGGCTGCCTATAACGCATTCATATATAGAATGTTAAGTATAATATTCATGTCATTCATACCCTTCCCAACTTCAATTTCATTGCGGCAAATATATTTCTTCACCACCATCATAATATATATCAAAATGTTGAAAATACCAGATAGTTAAGTTAGCTCTTTGCTAACACAAAAATATAAATAGAACATCCCTGTGACTCACCCTTAACGCTAGAAGGATTCTGCATGTCCCTCTGAATAGTAACCGGTACTCCTCTGCCGAACTTGTCGTGCTTGATCAACTCGCCCGTATTCCTAGTAATCCAGTAAAGGTTCGATTCGAAAACGTCTAACGAAACCGGATGTTTCAGCACTTCCCCTCTGATGACCGTCTTCCGATTAGTTCCATCATACTTCATGCTCTCGATCGTGTTCAGCTTCGTATCGACCCAGTACAAAGTGTGATCCATAGCATAGTCAATAGTCAACCCTGCCGGATAACGTATTTCATCGGTGATTAGCGGCCTGCGCTTGGAACCGTCCATCCAAGCCACTTCGATCTTGGGGGCACTGCCGGCGTCCGTCCAGAAGAGCATACCTTTCTGCGGATCAACGACAACGGACGTCGGGTTCTCTATTCCGACACTAGCCAGCGAGCGCCGGTATCTGCCGTCGGTCTTGGCGACCATAATTCTGCCCTTGGGTTTGGATCCGCGATCGGTTTCGCTCCAGTAGAGGTTGTTGGCCACCCAGTCCACGGAGATGGCGATCGGTTTTGAGTTACCTCTGATCTCTAGGTCTTGCGCGAACCCTGCCTTAACTTCGCCGTTCTGCGCGTTGATCATATACGACCGTTTGATTGTCTTCTGTCTGCTGTCGGCCCAGAAGATCATTTGGCTCATCGGGTTGTAATCCACTGCATCTATTCGCTGCTCGTCCATGATAACACCCTCCACGTCCCTTTGCTTGAGTTCGAACGAGCGAATTTCCCCTCCGTTCGACACCAGAAGCGTCACATCTTCCCTTTCAGCCTTGCATACTCCCGAGAGCTGATCCGACAGCCGGAAGCCTTCCTGACACGAGCAGGAGTAGGTTCCGTTTAAGTTAGTGCAGATCTGCGAGCAGTGGTGAGCCCCAGTCGCGCATTCGTCAACGTCCAGGCACACTTTGCGATTGTCTTTGGATATGATGAATCCCGAGTAGCAGGCGCAAATGTATCCGCCATCCGTCAGGTTCATGCAGCTGTGCTCGCAACCTCCGCGAGATGCTTCTGAGCAAACGTTGTTGTGGTGGCAGCCGAGCTCGTCCGAACTATCTCCGCAATCATCAGCGAAGTCGCACACCTGTCTCTTATCGACGCAGCGCTTGTTGGCGCACTTATACTCGGTCTGAGCGTCACAGGCTTTCATCTTTGTGGCGCACAAGGTAATGTTATTCTCGTCTGATCCATCGCCGCAGTTGTCAATTCCGTCGCAGAGTTGGTATCGAGGGATGCACTTGTGGTTGTTGCACTGGTAACGCCTTAGCGTGTCGCAGTTGAAATTCGTGCAGAGTGTCGGTGACTCGTCGGAACCGTCTCCACAGTCATCTGCGCCGTCGCAGAGGTCGCCCTGACTGATACAGAGATGGTTCTCGCACTGGAAACGGGAATCGGGGCAGTATTTGCCTCCCGGGTACCTCGGCGGGCAGTTTTTCTCGTCAGACATGTCTCTGCAATCGCGCTCGCCATCGCACCGGAAGTAGGAGGCGATACAGTGGCCGGAGGTGCACTGGAATGTTCCGTTTTTGCATTGGAAGCCGCTGCAACCGCTCTCGTCCGAGTTGTCGCCGCAGTCGTCTTCGTGGTCGCAGCGCCAGCGGGAGGAAATACACTTGCCGTTGCTGCACCTGGAAAGGGCAGAATAAGATTAGTATGGATTGAAAACAGGGTGATTCTGAACATTCCCTATAAATGCCCTTGCATTCCTCTTCGAGCTCATCTGATCCATCCCCGCAATCGTCAGAGAAGTCGCACTTCCACTGCTTCGGGATGCATCGGTTGTTCTTGCACTTGAAATCAGTCTCCGTGTTGCATGCAGGACAATTCTCAGGCAGCTCGTCGGAATTATCCCGACAATCATCTTTACCGTCACAGAACAGCCACTTCGGTATGCATCTATAATTCGACCTTCCGGGACAGCGTTGCCATCCTGTGGTGCAGTTCCTCTGCCTGCACATGTACGCAGGCTCATCCGAGTCATCCCCGCAGTCATTGTCGAAGTCACACATCCACAGCTTCTGGATGCAGCGGCCGTTCTTGCACGCGAACTCCGTCACCGGGTCGCACTCTCTCTTGTTGCAGATTGCGGGGTCCTCGTCGGAGCCATCTTTGCAGTCGGCATCACCATCACACTTCCAGCTGTTCAGGATGCAGCGGCCGTTTGAACGACATTTCATTTCTGATTCTGGGCACTCCTTGTCGCAGTTCAGCTCATCCGAGTTATCTCCACAGTCGTTCGTGCCGTCGCAGATGGTGGCCGAGGGTGTGCAGTTGAGGTTTTTGCATTGGAAAGTGCCCGCGCGGCATTGTCTCGGAGGACAAGTGGCGGGTTCGTCGGAGCCGTCTTTGCAGTCTTTCTCGCCGTCGCACCTAGGACAGAATTATTGTTGGTGAATATGTCTAGGATTTTCGATCATGAAAAACGAATAAAAAGGCATTTATTTGTTGTAACACCCATCTTGTATACGAGAGAAAGAATGACAAAATTTGAGGTTCATCGTTTTTTGATCGTGGAGAGACAATTGTTGAATAGATTAAATATACATTGGATGAAAGAGTAAAAGTCTAAATAGGTAACAGGTTTCAGCATTTTATCTAGCAATTAGTTATATTCCAAACAAGCAACTAATTTAACTAATTCATGGATGGTTTGTCCAAAATGTTTTAAACCTAAGGTTCTTGCCTATTTTTTTCACGCATGCCAAACATTTGACTGCACCCAATCACGAATAATTTGGGATAAAATTGAGATTAAATAAGTTGTCGTTACAGAATGGTAAAGTTGATTGTTACATATCTGGCGCCCAACATGAGGCGGAATACTTCTACAACTTCCAAGACAGAGCGTCAAAAGCTACATCACAATAACTAGTATACAGAAAAATAAGCTTACTTTTACTATCATGGTATTGAATTTTGACTGTACAAGCTTGAAAATCTCACTACATTTGGAAATTGAATCACTTGTGCGAGAAACTGCACTTTTGAGTGCATTTGTACTCAATAGACGTTTATCAGTGAGCCACATCAGACTTTGAAATCTGTTTTTCCATCAACCAGTTGTCGCCCCCTCACGAATGACGAGGTTTCACCTTTGAACGTGCGTTTCTCAGTATACTGCGTCTTTCTAAAAGCTTCTACGCAATATTTTTGACTTTCTAGTATTTCATTGAATTTATAGCAGAAAATTCACCACATATCAATATAAAGTCTCGATTGTCTCTTGAGCGAAAACTTAAAGGCGTTCGTTTTGAAATTATTTGAAAAAACTATATACTCACTGCCAATGCCATGGAATACATTTCTCATCGCTTCCCTTACACTGCCACTGCCCAGCCGTACAATTAGCGATGCAGGTCTTCCTGTCACTAGCCAGATAAAATTGATTCGGGCATGCGCACTTGAATGTCGTCTGTCCCTCATCACCGTAGCCGTCGATATTTAAGTAACTGGACGCGGGAGGTGGCGAAATAAGACACAAATGCGAACAACCTCCATTATTATCACCACAAGGGTTGTAATAAGGTAACTGTCTGAGTGGGTGGAATATCTGGATGTCGTACGGCTTGTGGGTGGTGTTTCGCAGAACTTGCAGGTCTTTGCCGCTGAACTTATTAGCTCTGCTGATGGCCTTGAGGTTCCAGTCCGTCCAGTAGATATAGTCGTCGAACAAGGACAGTGCAAAGACGTGTGGAACGCTGTTTCCAGAAAGAACTACATGGCGATGTCTGCCTTCCAGATCTGTAGACGCGATGTAGTCCAGGTGAGCATCGGCGAAATAGAGACGGTCTGTGAAGAAGTCGATGGTGAGAGCGTTGGGCCAAGCGATGTCATCTTCCCAGGTTAGAATCCTGGTGAAGTTCGACCCGTCCATTCCTATCTTCCCGACAAAGGCTTGCAGGTGCCACGAGGTGAAGTAGAGGTAACCGATACCAGGATGAACGACCATAGCTCTCGGATCAGGAATGCTCGTCTTCAGCGTTCTTCGGTTGGTACCGTTCAGCTCTGCAACCTCCAGGTTCTTTGAGTGCCTATCCAACCAGTACAGCTTCCTTCCGATCCAATCCACGGAGATGCCTTCGAGTCCATGCGAATCATGTCGAATGACCGGCTGTTTCGTCTTACTGCCGATAGGGCTCTTGAATATCGTTTTTGCCGTAACATCGCAAAAGTACAGCTGCTGTTCCTTCATGTCGTAATCGAGTGCCACCACGTTCATTAGGTCCTGGTGCATGAGGTTGTAGACGTGGGCATCTACCGACATGTTGCGCACGTAGTATTTGTTGGTGAAGATGATCCACGGTTGGATGTTGTCCTTGCGTTTGCAGGTGTGCTCGTCGCTTTCCCGCTCGTAGTATTCGTCATTGCATTTGCAGTAGTAGCTGCCCGGGGTGTTGGAACAGTACTGGGAGCAGACACCGGGTTTTTCTATGCACTCATCGATGTCAGAGCAAGCTTTACCATCCTCCAATAATCTGAAACACAGAATTTGAAAATCAAGATCGGGGGATTCCGAATGACCTTCATCAATTTTCAGTGATTAACAGGAGAAGAAACGGACCAACTGAAATTATTGAGGAAAGCCTGAGAAACAATCATATTCTTAGTCATATTAGTGATCAGGCGTAAAGAAAGAAGTAATATAGCTGCAAGAGTTCTATGACATTCCTTATGGAAAAACACGTGCAAATTTGAACAGGTTCATTCTGGCAATTTTTAGACCTCATGCTCGGTTCACACGGAAGAGACAAAGTCCGTGCCTCGTCTCTATCAGACGTCCATTCTGTGTGAATTGGGCCTTAGACTTTCAGAGCCCACTCCTCCACTTTTGCCATCATACAGAAGCTACCGCGCGTACAGCGGGAAATTCAAATCAGTAGATGAACAAGGCGGGTACGAGCTCATTTCAAGTTAAGTGTTTCAGAGAGAGACTTTAGTGAGTGGAAGAGCGAAACGTATGACGTAATTGATACAGGATGGAATTAATATCGGAGAGATTCAAAGAGCGTGGACCCCCTTGGGATCCCGCCTCACTCCTCAGGATCCCTTATCGCGCACCAGTCACGTGGCCCCTATTAAAAAATTTCATCTCTATGAGATTTGAACTCAGGACGTTGGCATGGTAGGCTTTGTCCTTAGTCTCGACACCAACATGGAATATTGGAAGAAATTGCGAATTGTTGATATTTGTAGCGGTTGTTTTGTCAGGACCGAAATTGACTCATTTTCTATACTTTACCTCATTTCTGGATTTCCGTAGAATTTTAGGAAACTTGTAACGTCATTTCCATGTAGAAGATTGGGGAAGAAGGTGTATAATATACCGATTCATACAAACCAATATTTCAACAAAAACTTCAAACACTAACTATTCAAAAATGAAAACGTTATTTCAGAGATCTCCAAACATCTGGAACCAAGGAGTCTTCCTGAGAAACCGGAATCTGTTGAATCTGTTTTTCCGTTAACCAGCTGTCGCACCCCTACGAAATACAACTCTCAAAAGTCGAAACCTGTACGAGCTAAGGACTATTGCGGTCTTAACTTTTAACGTGAGATTCCTAGTAGGAATGTTTGAAGAAAGCCTTCAAAGAAAAAAACAGATATTGTAAAGGCAAAATTGAACGAGTAATACAACCAAGGTAACTCCAGACAGACCTCTTGTTCAAAACATTGTGAGCCGTTTTGAAATAATTATGGATAAACATAATGAGAGGTTCGTATTTCAAACCCAAGTGCTTGATGAGATTCCAATACCATTTCCAGTTTTATTTCGTTCGTAACAAACCGCTTACTTCCAAACAGAAGAGTTATTACCCAATAAATGTTGAGAAAATTGTAGCCGATGAATAAAACACTATATTGTTTTGGTTGGTTTCCGAGTTTTGCTGGTCTTCTTTGGTTACTATCTCCAAATGTTTCAACTGCAACTGCGACAGAGTGTATTGTAAATACTTTGATTACACGATATTTTTAATTTTGAAAAGTGTTTGCGTGAAATTTTGACGTTTTCTTGCTTATGAATTATTTCAGAATTTTTGTTTCATTTCAACTTCATGATATATTTCAGAATAAAGTTTTCTACTCGAGTTGTTATTTATTATTATTGAAAGAACGGCTATTTATATTTTCTTGGTGATATTTTGACATATACTTACTTATATCCTTGATTACATTCACAGTAATACCCAGTAGGGGTGTCAATGCATTTGTGTCCACATTGATGTATCTCGACTTTAGCGCACTCATCAACATTGCAATGTAACGGTTCATCAGAATCATCAGAACAGTCAGATATCTTATTACAAACCAGGTTATAGTTGATGCATTGTCCATTGTTGCACCTAAACTGAGTAGAATCCGGACAAGTCATGTTTTCTTTTTCTAAAAACACTGCTATTTAGAGAAGTACTTCTTCAGGTAATTTTCTACTTACTGCAATTGACCTCATCTGATCTATCACCACAATCGTCTTCCCCATCGCACCTGTACTGGTTTCGGATGCATTTGAAGTTCTGGCACGTGAATTCGTTGGTATTACAAAGTTTGTACTTCGAGTTGCATTCTTTTCCTTCATCTGTACCATCTCCGCAATCATTGTCATGGTCACAAACCCAACCCTACAAAAATAATTCATTGATGAAAGTATGTTTATTATTATTATGGTAATCGCATTTCTAGCACACTCACTTTATTGATACATCTTCCATTAGCGCATGTGAACTGATCATCACTACAAGGGGCTGGAGTAGCGCAATGGTGTATCGTAGCGTTTTCATCAGCTCCATCGACACAGTCTGGGTCTCCATCACACAGCCACTTTTTCGGAATGCATTGAGCTCTTCCCCATTCCTTGTTGGCCTCGCACGTATATTCCGTTTCCTCGTCACATTTCCGATCATCTAGGAAGAAAAAAACATGATACTTCTGGGACAAAATTATTTTAAAACAATAAGTAGAGTTCTTGTGTCTTATTCAGTAAGATAAATTGGAAAATTGATATTTGGGTGATCAGTGACGTAGAGTGGTGGATTGCAAAGTTGATACAGTAAAAATAAGTGAAAAATAGTGACTTTGGAAAGTAAAATTGACAGTGTTTGGAAAAATGGATACGTACATTTTGATCCCATAAAATATGACTGTTTTTATACTATATTCATATTACACAGCTTTCTGATGTAGTTTATAGAGTTCACCTTACAAATTATCAAATTTGGCGCCCAACGTGGGGCCAGAATGTTTGATACTTTATGGGGAATAATATAAATTGAACTAAAAGTGAAAAATGAACCGTTACAGTTATTGTCTCAATACATTATTTCAATTGATGTTATTGTATATATTTTTCTGCCTAACTTGTCTTTTCCAATACGCAACAACTTCATAATATATTGCATGATTTTTGCAGGCAACTTTTTTTATTTTCTATATTTGATGATATTGGAGCTTATCTCATCCTCAAGTTATATTTTAAAAACTACGAATCACACTTTCAATACTTACTGCATTCGTGCCGATTATCCTCATCACTGTTATCAAGACAGTCATTATCTCCGTCACAAATATAAATCCTGGGAACACAATTGCCATTATCGCAAGTGAATAGATCACCAAAACATGTGCGCCCATCGCTTTTACAGTATTCCGGAGGTTCATCAGCACCATCACCACAGTCGTCATCTCCATCGCAGTACCTGTTGAGCAAATGAAAAGTTGAATAAGAGAAAATTTATTTCATCTATGCAAAAATACCCACCAAGTAGCAGGAATGCACCGGTGATTCGAACACCTGATGCTGTTCGGCGGGCAACTTCTATCAGCACAATGCAGTGGATTTTCATCGGAATTATCTCCGCAGTCGTTATCTCCATCGCACAGCCAATAAGGTTCCACGCAAATGTTCGTCGTATCGCATTTGAGATGATTCTCAGGACATGTCATGTTTTTGGGGCATCTCTTGTGCTCTTCGTCAGAAGTGGAGTTGTCTTTGCAGTCGTTAACCCCGTTACAGACCTGAGCCATGGGGATGCACCTTTTATTCTCGCAAGTGAATTCGCCTGCGGCACACGGCGGATAGTCGCAGTCAGTTTCGTCGGATCCATCTTTGCAGTCGTTTTCATGGTCACATTTCCACGATTTGAATATGCAGCGGCCGTTAGCGCAGCGGAATTCGTTTGTGGAACAAGAGTGGAAAGCTGAAAAAAGGCGTTTTTGGGTGTAGATGGAGCAGCGTATAGCAAAGAATTAACGTTTTATAAAAGGAAAAAAGTTATATAAATGAAAAAAAATACTTTCCAAATAAATTTCTGCCATTGAAATTGAAAAATAGTCAAGGAAAGTGACAAATTTATCAAAACACTATTTGATTTCAGAAATTATATTAATGCCCGACTTACAAAAACATATACTCACAACAATAGTTCTCATCCTCGTCGCTATTATCGCCACAATCGTCGTCCCCGTCGCAAGCCCACATCCTAGATATGCACCTGCCATTAGCGCAATAGAACTTGCTAGAGTCACAACTCAAATTCTTAGCCACACACATCTTCCCTTCGTTGACAAGCTTGGTGTTTTCGTCGCAGCGACATTCGGCCGTACCATTCACGCCAGGATGACAACTCTTTGCGCATCCACCGTTGTTGATCTGACAGGGGTTGACTGAGCACCGCTGTCTCCGGTCCGAGAAGACTTGGATGTCCCTCGGGCTGTCTTCCAGCCTCTTAACGATCTCAATCATGTTGGCCCCGGTGTGTTTTTCCGCTCTGTAGACGCCCCTGAGTTGTAGATCCGTCCAGTAGATGTACTTGCCGAAGACGGTAATTGAAAATGGGTAGATCGTAGCTGAAACCAGCACTTCCCGGTTCTTCCCGCTCAAATCTGATCGTTCTATTTTTTCTCTAACTGCGTCCGTCCAGTAGAGCATCTGCTCGTCATAGTCTATCGCTAGGCCCGAAGGCTGCGCTAGATCTTTGTCTATGATTACACGTTTAAGGGATCCCGCCATTGTAGTTCTGAAGATTTTGCCGGTGGTGCCGAATTTCCCCCAGTCGGTGAAGAAGAGGGTACCATTGCAGGGGTCGATAACGATCGCTCTGGCTCGTTCTACCCTGGTGATCATGATCAAATCGGAGCCGTCGAGATTCATGGCGTATATGCTGCGGTTGGAGGAGTCCGTCCAGTAAATTTTTTGTTGAGTCCAATCGTATGCGATACCTGAATAGAAAAGCGAATGTTTATTTAATTTATTATCCCAAAAAGGATATAGATCCTCATAATTACAAACCGATGAAAGGTCATCGATTTCTCTTTTTAACGTGTTCTATTTTTTTCATGGTAGATACAGAAAGTTGTAGAGAAAATCTATTAAAAAATCAAAATCATTTTTTTTGGTACCATTAAGAATTGCTTTACTTACTTGTTTACAATTTAATACTTATGGGTTCGATGCTTTTGATAAAAAAAATAAATGCAGTTTTTGTCTCGGTATTTGTTATATTCTGTTGAATGACCATGCTTCAACCGTGACTATTTTAGACCAACATTTTGCACACAATACTTTATTTTACTACTTACTGAACTTCATTACTGCACAGTTGTTTAATGGGCAATATCTGGGTATGGATATTGGCCATTGAACTAGATATATTTAGGTCAACAGTGGAAAAAAATTAGGACCCCAAATGAAATAGAGTCAACGAAGCAATAGAATTTGCAATTTTGGACCGCGTCAGTATTGACAATTACCTACAGCTTCTGGCATTCAAAAAATTTATAAATCCCATAGTTTGCATCCATATGGAATTTATCATGAGAGGAATTAAATGATGATGATTTTGACAGTTCGCAATTTTATGTTCGCAATTTTATGAGGCAAATGTGGATTGTGAGTGGTTTTTAATATATATAGCAACACACTCAGTTACTATTTCAGAGTAAAACAAAAACGACAATGATTAATTATCAAAAATTACCTTCAGGATTGATGCCCTTATTCTTCAAAGTAACGATGGCCTTACTCTCAGGATTCGTAGCCGACATCTGCGCTATCTTAGCCCATGGTCTAATTTGTGTGAAGAAGAGTATCTTGCGTTTGAAATCGAAATCAATTCCCACGACGTTGGTGAGGTTGCCAACTGGAGCGAACGGCACATTAGTAGACCGTGCGTCTAGATTAACGGCTCTCACTTCAGTCCTGGTAGAGAAAACTAGGTACTCATTGACGAAGCCACACTTGCGACCATCCGTGATATTTCCTGTCGCACAGTCGCATCTGAAACTCGGTTTAGAAACCGTCGCGATATCCTGGGGGAAGGAGAAGCATAGTTGTTCACACCCCCCATTTCTGTATCTGCTGCAAGGGTTGGTATCATCACTTGGCTGGTTGGTATTGTCGTATATAGCAATGTCTCTCAGACTCTCCAAATTGGTCCTCACTCTCGTCGGCAGCGTTGAATTCCCGGGTTGTTTCGAGGCTCTAAAAATGGCCTTTAGGTTCCTATCGACCCAATATAAGTCGGATTTGAGAACGGCTATGCCCATCGGGTTCGGTAAATTGCGTCTGATAACTTGTCGGTTACCGCCGCTGTAAGATATTCTTTGAATCATATCTAGTTTCGAATCAACCCAATAGACATCGTGATTGTTCATGTCAATGGTGAGATCTCTGGGGTTGCTAATTCCTGATGTTACAACCGGTTGCCATTCCGACCCATCCAGGTTTGATTTACCTTTGAAGAATGGAGACATTATTTCGTATCATTAAATAATCCAACAATTTAAACATTTTATACATGATTATACATTGATGATTGATCAACAATTCACTGTATTTGAACTTGGAAATTCCACTTGAAGTGTGTTTTTTGAATACATACAGATGAACAATGCAGTATTTGGTAAAACTTTGGAGATATTGAGCACATTAGTATTTCAGTAATATTTTGTTAAATTTTGAGAGCTGGTGTGTGTTAATACAGACATATTATGACAAAATTAACATTTATCGTTAGTTGGTTCTTTAACAGGATCTCAAAGAAGTTATGAAAAATGTCACCATAAAGTAAGTAAAAATGAAGTGTACTCACCTATACGGGGATATTGTCCGTAATCAATCCAGTACAGTATCCTCTTAATAGGATTTACAGCAAGCTCTCTTGGTGCATCTGTTGTGGACTTGACAATTATCTTCCGGTTTCTCCCATCCAACCAACAAACCTCTACGTAATTTTCGTGTGGAAAAACATTTGTGAAATACAAATTTCCTGCTATCCAGTCAACAGCCAAACCACGAATACCGTTACTACCTATGCCATCTTTAATGATGTGTTGCAACTCAGTACCGTTTGGCCTGATTCTGAAGATGCCATTCCACGAACCTCTGTTGAACTCCACCCAGTAGATCCAATTCTCAGCGAAGTGAACGTCCACGTGCAGAATATGATGTCCGGGCCCTGTGATGGGGACCATCGCTTCGGAGCTGTCCTTAAGACTCAAGCCTCTAGCCATGTCGAGTTGTGAGACGACGGCAAAAGTCCTGTAAGGCGAACAACTCATACCGTTCTTCTTGTAACCTACACCGCAGACGCACGTGCTTGATCTACCCTCAGCCGGGATGCAGATGTGTTCGCAGCCACCGTTGCCTTGTAGACAAGGGTGTTCTCCCAGCGGTCTTTTCTTGAAAATAGTGAACGTCTTCAGATCCGGTTCGTTCTCCAAAATAATCCTTTCATTACCGCCCGAAGGTAGAGCGACCTGTACCAACTTCTCGTAAGTAGGATCTAAGTAGAACAGGCGAGATCCCAGCACACCTAAGGCCTTTGGAGACGATATATAGTTTTGTTCGTTCAGGATAGTGGCTCTGTTCTTGCCATCAACGCCAATCCTTCCTATTAAGGCCGGGTACTGAGTACTGAAGTAGAGCGTCTTCGTTTCATAGTCGATGACAAGAGCGTCTGGTTTCTCAATGTCGTCAACTAACACTATGGGGTTGGTGCCGTCCATATTTACTTTTCCTATCTTCTGTGGTACGCCATAACCTCCCTCGTCGGTCCAATAGAGCTTACCGTCCATGGGGTCGAGACAAATAGCTCTAGGTTTCGCTACCGATGTTCTGTTTCCGTCGTTAGCCAAAATTATAAGGCGGTGTTTGATTTTTCCATCTATTCTTATAACTTCGATATTACTAGCTTTGCGGTTGCCAATAAACAGATTCCTGCCAAGCCAGTCAAAAGCGATAGTGGAAGGAGATCCAACAATGCCAGAGTCGACACCTAGGACTTGGGTTTTGTTTCCTCCTCCATAGGGGGTGCTCCATATGGTACACTGAAAAAGAACTTTAATTGTAGCGGCCTCTATTGAATGAATTTTAAACCTTCTATAAGTTTGATAGTAAATAAAATCATTTTCAACTTTGAATTGCGGAGAAATATCAGCAAGATGAAAACTGAAATACTGAATGGAATTTCTTCTTGTTTGGCCGTTTATGAAATCATTCACGTTAATTTTCAATTGTTGAGATTATTGATTTGGAAGAAACATAAAATCATTCATTTTGATATTTTATCTAGTACTGTACTTACATTCTCTCCAGTGGAATCTTTGCTCTCAACCCAATATATTAGATGATTCTTCCTATCATAGTCGACTTGCAAACCGTTATCGATTCCGACAACAGCGGTGATGAATCCGGCAGAACTATCGCCAGGATTGAGCGACACATCGATGATTTGAGTTCCTTTCATTACCATCAAGAAGGCATTGTCCTCCTCGCTGCAAACTCCTCCAGGGTTCAGCTTGAATCCAGGTTTGCACTTGCACGTATATCCCGTGCTAGACGATGGAGAGAGCAAACAAATATGCTGACAAGGAGCGCTTAAACACGAGTTCTCGGTGATGGGTTGCAACGAAGGGTGATGCACGTGTATGCTCAAAGGTTGGGAAATCAAGTGCGAGACTACGGTTTGGTTGTTTCCTCTGAATTTGTGAGCGGAAAGAACCCGGTTCAACTGCCGGTCAGTCCAATATAGAGTGTCTTCGAAGAGTGTGAGGGAGTGAGGATGGAGGAGATAGTGACTGCCGGCTAGAACTTGTTGTCGACCAGTACCATTGTAGTAGCAGAAATCTATGAAGTCTAGTTTTGAATCGGCGAAGTAGACCCTCTGCGTCGCTGTGTCTAGGGTCAAACCATTGGGCCAGTATATTTTGGTGTTGATGATTGTTGAACGGTTCGTTCCGTCCATACCAACTCTTTCGATACGTGGGTTCTCTCCCCAGTCTGTCCAGAATAGCCATCTTGCACTACAAATACAGTTGAATGTGATACGAAATAACAACTATAGTTCTGTAGACTAAATTTTGATTTCAATTGAACGGAAAAGAAAATATTTTCAGATATTTCCAGTAATATCATTTCAAAAGTATTGAAAAATGGATTCTAGAGAATTCGAGTTCATGCTGAACCGGTTTGACCTATAATGATCTGAAATTATATTCAACTGAACTAGCATTTGATGATTTGGAATGACACCTTTAAAAAAACAACTTTCAAACATGATTCATACAGACTTACCCTGGGCTTGGATCCAAGCACATTCCTCGAGGTTGTGTGATATTTTCTCTGACTAGCACGATCCTGTTGGAGCCGTTCTCTTTGGAAACCTCAATGGTGTTCAGTTTCGAATCCAGCCAATAGATATTCTTACCAATCCAGTCGTAAGCCAAGCCCTCCACTAGATCCAATCCCGTGGAAATCACGTCCATAGGCTCCCCGCCTTTGTCCAGTTTTGATATCTTTTTGAGCTTCATATCCGACCAGAAAATAGTGCCAGTGTGCATGTTTGAAGCAGTTGCTACTACGTTTTCTACGATGATTGGCACCCTCTCCAAGCCTTGTTCTTTCAAGTCGGCTACTAGGATTGAGTGACGGTTGGATATTATCAAAAATGCCGCGGAATGGTCTGAAACAGAGATAATCAATAAAAATCATTCGCAGATTATCAGGGAATGAAATTGATTCTATACAAACAGATGGTCATGTGCTCATATGTTCAAAATTAATTCTGAATATTTACAAGAACTTACTGAATGCTTTACAGGAATGTTTATCAGGTTCTAGAGTATAACCACCGACACAGCTACAAAAGTACGACCCCTTAGTATTGGTGCAACTTTGAGAACATAATCCCGGAGGCTCACATTCGTTCAGGTCTTCACAGTTCGTTGCATCTGAGCCCAATACTTCACCGGAGGGGCAGAGGCATAACGGACCCTTAAAATAATAATTTGAACGATGTTTAACCCTTTGATAACTAAAACATGGGTGCTTCATATACCTGAGGAGTTTGTTTGCATCCGTTAGAACAGAGACCACCTTGATGTTGACATTCTTCGAAAGTGCAGTCTGGTCCCTCGTCTGCTCCATTGGGGCAATCGACTTTACCGTCACAAACGCTGGTTATGTTGACACAACGTTCCGACACGCCAGGACACTGCCACTGACCATCAGGACATCTGTAAGGAGGCTTGACGCATGCGTGAATGTAGCTTTCGTCCAAACCGTCTTCGCAGTCTTGTTTGCCATCGCAGATGTACGACTGAAACGAAGGATTACGTAAAAGGAACATGAACGTGGCAATATTTGAAAGAAAACTACAGGTAAACACGTGGTAATCTATTTATATTATTTTTAGTCAGGAAATAGTATGATTGGCTCCCAACGTGGGGTTCATTTTCAATAAAAGCCAATGAAGCATTCGAATAGTTCATGTTATAGTCATCTCTAGCCACTTACCTTAAATATACATTGAGTACTGTTACATTTGTAGAAGTTGATAGGGCAATCGATATTTCCACAGGAGTTCGGTTCATCAGATCTATCATCACAATCTGGTGTTCCATCACAATGCCAAGCCTTGGGGATACAAATTCCGGATTTCTCACACTGAAATTGTTTTTCTGGATTACACTGGTCAGGAGCAATAGAAGCTGAAAAAAAAGATTATGAAAAGCTTCAATTAGATATTTGTCTTGAATAATGTTTCGACAACTATAAAAAATAATTCAATTTTGAATTAATTTTATGTTCGTACATTATGTATTCTAAAGTTGTCACTAGAATAAACTTATTTGGAAATATGACATGTTGTGAACCGTCATCAACGGGCTTTCATCGCCTGGCAGCATTGAAATATAGAGCCAGAAGTTTGCGTTATCAAATCAATAGGGCAATTACATTTTTTATTTTACATTTGACATTTTTTATCTAACGGTGCGGTGCAATGAAAGCTACAGAGAAAGACAGAATACGAACATCGTCGGTGGTCCATGTTGAATCTTGACTTTGCAACGGGCCGCCTGACAATAATAGTCTACAAAATAAAAGAAAACTTACGGCATCCAAGCTCGTCGCTTCCATCGTTACAATCCGGAATCCCGTCACACTTGTAGCTCTCCTGGATACACTGTTTCAGATCCGCACACTTGAATTGATTCGACTGGCATGTGATCGGCGGGCAGTCCTGCTCGTCCTGTTTATCGAAACAATCGTCATCTCCGTCGCACACCCAGTTCTGAGGGATGCAGTGCCCGTTCCTCGGACACGTAAACTGGTAGTATGCGCACGTCTTTTCCGCGCAGGAATCGCCTTCGTCCGATCCGTCGCCGCAGTCGTTCTCCGAGTCGCACTTCCAGCTGCTCGGGATGCATCGGCCGTTGCCGCAGTGGAACTGCGTGCTGCTGCACGTGACGTTGACGCAGCCTGTTTCGTCGCTGAAGTCGCCGCAGTCGTTTTCTGCGTCACACTTGAAAGTCATCGGGATGCAGCGGCCTGATTTGCATTGAAACTCGTTGGCGCCGCAAGTTGGTTCTGAGAAAGACAAAGGAGTGAGTGTACGGAAGTGAAATGATGGCAATGTTGAGTTTGAATTGGTTGATAATGCTAAATTGCTAAATACATTTAACGGCATTAAGGGACAATTTGATAGTTCGCTTTACTAACTTGAACAATTCTGGTTCTCGTCGCTATTATCCAGACAATCATCATCTCCGTCGCAGACCCAAGATTTCGGTATGCATCTCTGATTGCTGCAGGTGAAATCCCAGCTGTTGGGGCATGCCTGGACGGGTGGCTCATGGTTTGGATCAGCCTGACAGGTTTTTCCGTCGCCGGCCAGCCGTTCGCCATATGGGCAACCACATTTGGCATGGAGATCGTTCGAATTTTCTCTGGGGATGGCGAAACAAAGTTTTTGGCAGCCGCCGTTGTTGTTGTAGCAAGGGTGGGTTGGCATAACTTGCTGCTCTTTTTCGCTGTAGATCTGTAACGAATGTTAGGTTAGGATTATGTTGTGATTATGGTACTTGGGCCAAGAAGGCCCAAACATAAATATACAAAGGGGCCGTTGTCGCCAGGTGGCGGTGCATTCCTCAAGGAAAACACACAATTAGCAAAGTAACATTTGGTATAATTGATAGTTCTGCGAAATAAAATTTAACGAATATTCTGTGATATCTGTGTGAGATAAATTCACTCCTCACGAAGTGAGGTTAACTCTGGTGTATCCAACGAATTAAGTGGATAAATGGTCTGTGCAACTGTGAAAGACGACATGTTTATTTCTACAATCTATGTGTGATGACTCGCTACCGTTTGCTAGTAATTGTTTTGACTTCGTTTTTCACTTGTAGGGGAAGAGGATGCATTACAAAAGTACCTTTTTCATCGCGAGTTATATAAAATTTGTCAGTCCGATGCTAACAGTTGGTACTCCTGTTACAAAAACAATCGAAAATATCCCTTACCTTAACTCCATAAAGTCTATTGGTCTGCGGTTCCTTAACCAAAGTCTCCTCCATGTCGCCTCGCAACTTATGCAGCTTGATGATAGCATCTAATCTCCAATCCGTTATGTACATGAAATCCTTGAAAATCACTATGCTGAACGGGTGTCTGATCAGCCGTGAGTTTACAGTTTTGACATCGGTACCGTCCAAATTCGAGTGCTGCACGTGATCTAGAAGGGCGTCGCACCAATACAACCGATCCATTTGAAAATCGATTGACAGCCCGTTTGGCCAGCCAAGGGTGAGATTCTTGAATACTATTCGTTTGCTTCCGTCGCTCAGGGTTCTAGATATATTCGCCGGCCTATCCCACTCAGAGAAGAAGACGAAACCTTTGTTCGGATGAACGACTATTGCTCTAGGTCGTTTTAGGTTGATCATCAGCGTTCTTCTGTATGTCACGTTGCGAGTAGACAGCATATTGAGCGTCCCTTTCCTGCTGTCGATGTAGTAAAGGTTCTTAGAGGCCCAATCTACGGCCAGGCCTTCTACGCCTTCATTCTGTGACGCCAACACGATCTCCCTCGCCGAGCCGTTTCTATGGACGCGGTAGATGACGTCCTGGAGCACGTCGGAGTAGTAGATGTATTGGTCCTCGGCGTCAAAGTCAAGGCCAACAAAGCGCGCTCTTCTGGACACCACGGGGAGTATGGCATCGTTGAATCCCTCCACGACGGGGTTGAGAACTTTGCCTTTGATGAACCTCTGTTGGGAGTACATTAGAAATTCGTCCACGAGGTCGCAGTTGCGCTCATCCACGGCAAGCTTCCACCCGATGTTGCAAGCGCAGCGATAGCCTAGATTAAAGCCTACGTTGGTGATGACGCACAGATGCTGACAGCCCCCGTTGTTGTTCCCGCAGGGATTGCTGACATACGGCTGGACCAGGGGGTGAACCGCTTTGATAGCCTTCGGGTCTCTGATATCTTGCATTCGATAAATCGACTGTAGCTTGCTGGTCTCGTATTTGTCCACAGACATGATTCCTTGCTTTGTGCCGTCAGTCCAGAATACTCTGCTTTCGAATAAAGTCAACCGAGCGGGGCTTGGCACCTGCTGGCCCCTCACTACTAGGAACCTCTTCTGACCGTCGTAATCCACGGTTTCTATATAGTCCAGGAGAGAATCGCACCAGTAGACTCTTTTAGCGATGATGTCGACCGCGACTCCTGAAGCTTTGTAAGCCGCTTCTGAAACTATCGATACGGACTTGGTGCCGTCCATATTGGCTCTCAGGACTTGAGAACTGTCCGCGACAAACATGTAACCAACCGTGGGGTCTAGGGCGATGTCAGCTGGATTTGTTAGGTTGGAACCCAAGACGACCGCGTGGAATTTACCTTGGAGTTCAAAAATGTCGATTTTTTGTCCGATGGAGTCAGCGATGTACAGTTTATTGCCGACCCAATCAACTGCTAAGGCTATTGGGAGCCAGGAACCGGGGAGGCTAATGTCGATGTCAGCGGTTGGGTATTCTTGGGTGCCGAAGAGGGACTGAGAATGGATCTGAAAAGAAACGCAATATATATTAATACATAATACAAAGTTCCTGAATAGAAACAATTTTAGTAACTCACCTTTTTCGTTTTGGTATCTGACCAATACAGGGTGTTTCTTTTGTAGTGGAAATCCAACCCGCTGGCACCTGTCGTATTGACGAACGTCATCGGGTTACCTCCGGAGCCGGTCATGCGCAGAATGGATTTCTCGTGGGCAAAAAAGAGCTGAAGCGCGCTTGAATTGTCCGCCTGGCATCGGTTCTTGTCTTTCATAGTGAAGCCGGGAGCGCACGAGCAGCTGTAGCTCCCGTCGGTATTCGAACACAGTTGATCGCAGAAACCCCATTCATAGCACTCGTTCAGGTCCGTGCAGGTTTTGTTGTCGGGGGCCAGTTTCTTTCCTTCCGGGCAGTAGCAAGATCCTCCGGTTAGAGAGGCTTGGCATTTGTAGTCGCAACCGAGAGAGGGGCAGTATACAGTAGCTGAAAATGATATTCATTCCATGGAGTTCATTTCAGTTGAAGTCTTAATAGCAGGGCATACTGAGGTTTATGAGAAAGTTATGGTTTTATCATGACTGCTCTATATCAGATAATGACTAGATATCAAAAAATGATAGAGACACCGGTCTTAGACCGCATTGAGGATTTTCCTGTAGTGCTGGTGTTTTGTCCTTAAAAAAAGTGAAACTTTGATATTTTCGGTGAAAACAAGTTCAGAATTTGTGAAATATATGCTACCGTTTATTTTGGTCTTTATCGACGATTAAAGATTTTATTGAAACAACGATAAAAATAAAAATAAAAACAAAAATTATTTGGCGCTCCGGGGCGACTTCATTGATTCCAGTGGCGCATTTGCTTTTTCAGCTGCAGGAAAACCCGGAGAAACCTGCAGCACCACATCATCTGAAGATCTTGATCTACCAATGTTCTCTTTCTTATGAAACAAAATGTAGGGTGTCTCCAGAGGATCCAATAGATTCAATGCATCGCTAGAACACTACCGATTGTACTACGTTTCAAAATTTATATTTGAACTACGATAATACGGTACCTTTATTTTTACCAGTTCATTCAGGTTTCCGTTTGTAATGAATTTTACGGAAAAAATAAAAAATATCTGAAGCCATGTGAAGAGGCATCTGTTTGTGACATAAGATGACAATAAAAATTTGATATAGAAACAGAAACCCAATCTCTTGGTATATTGAAACTTATCAATGAACTTTTCTCCTTTAACTTCGAAATAGTTAGAAAACAGGCATATCAAAAAGCAAAATGACCGGCTAAAAACTGGGTCATACTTTATTTATTATTGATTTTTAAGATTTTTATGCGGTGCCATTGATAGCCAATTTTTTTCCATTTGCGAATCCTGAGTATGATTTGTATATTCATCAATCCTGGTAATTGTTTGTATCGTCAAAAAAGAATATATTCAGAGACAGAACGTAATGGAGCATACCAAAACTGACTAAGCAAACAATAACGACATATATGCATACATATTTATCTATAGTATATCGTCCAATTCGAGATGCATCAAGTATGTGTTTGTGTCAATGAAGAGATGTCACAAGCTATACCTGTTGAGAGTGGAGTTCCCTGCGGTTCTGTTCTGAAGCCCCTGTTTTCCATGATATATGTTCTATATGATCTGTTTATTGTTCTTTTTGTTTTGTTCGATGACACTGAGAAATAGTTCAATGTTGAACATGTTGAAATTGAACACAGAACAAACTCAATAGTTATTTATTTCTAGCTCGTTCAATTGTACACATTAAACTAGAACTTGCACATTGATACGATCACAAAAAAAAAAATTTCGTTTAAATTTCTTGTTCGACACCTAAAAATAATTGCAAATCTCGATATACTTTTGCATATTTTTCATTGACTCGCTTCTCCGTCACCTATGACACATTATTGTGAAAAAATTCTAAAAACAATCAATTGCAATTATAAAAAAAGTGAATGCATCTGTATCTGTAGAGTACGGAGGGTAAGTGTAAGCCCACAGCACTTAGGCCACATGTGACCCATTGTACATCCTCCCGAGGAGTCCTAGGTCATCGTCCATCCTGTCCTTTCCAGGCCTGACAGTCCCATACTATGGAGGTGTTTCCTTAGTTCACAGTGGCCAGTTAGAAATCCTACTGTTGAACGTAGAGTTTTCCTGGTCAGCGCCAGATATTTCTTTGGCGCCAGCTTCCCAGGGTGGCCCAGGGTGATCCTGGGCCACATCTCTTTAGGGATTGAGTATGGGTGTAATATTTGGCTAGTTCCGCATCTGTCGAAGTCATCTGGCCGGCAATGCGGCAATGCGATTACTTTTACTCCTGTCGTGCCCTTTAACCCACCTTAGGATAATGTTATCATCTACCGAGGCTTTTGCTAAATCTTGGTGGCACTCTAGTACTAGCCCTGAGGTAACACGTTCAAGGCTAATAGGGATTGTCTGCTGTCAGTGCAGATTGTTATGTTTTTGCTAGAAATTCCTTTCCTGGTTATTTCTTTTGTGGCGATGGAGATACCAGCCAGATCTGTTTGGACCACGCTGTTATTTGTTTCCATTCCCCACTCAATCCTTAGGCTTAGTGATCTGGAGTACACTCCACATCCTGAGCCTTCTTTGGTTTTTGAGCCGTCTGTATATATGCGTATTGCATTTGTAGCATCTGACTGTGTTCTGTTTCATTTGTATTTTGTAGGGTTTATTAAACACTAACCTGGATTCAGTTGCATCACTTGTTGCCTGCAGCAGAGGTTGCGCAGTAAGCGCTTCCCGCCATAGGTCCAGCCTCAATTGACCCTTTCCTACTTCGTGGTTTACACCAGCCGTGCGCAATCGAACCATGGCCATTAACGCAACCTCCTTAACGTACAGATCCAAAGGTGTCAGATCCGTAATTAATTCCATTGCCGCGGTTGGTGTTGTTCTCATGGCTCCTGTGATGTTCAAACAAGCCAGTCGCTGTATTTGATATAATTTTTGGATAGCCGTTGCTTGTAGAACTTTCGGTCCCCATGCAATGGCTCTAAAAATAATGTGTGTATTGGCAAACAAAGAAAACAACAGATCGCATACTTACAGCAAGCGGTCTCTTCGTCAGCATTATCGTCGCAATCTTTCTTGCCATCGCACAACTTGTTTTTCGGGATGCATTTATGGGCGCCGGATGATCCTTTCGGGCACAGGAACTGATTCTCCGGACAGGCTATGGCGGTGCAGTTTAGCTCGTCTGATCCATCGGTACAATCCTGATAGCCGTCGCATCGGAAAGCTCCGGGAATACACAGGGCGTTAGCGCATCGAAATTGAACGCCGTGACAGACAGGGAAATCTAAAAAATATACATGCACATATGACCAAAGTTGTTCATCAGAATCAGAATCATTCATTCATCACAAAAGAATACACATTGTGTGATGAAAACTACAGAATATGTAGCTTATCGAACTAGTCAAAAAGATATTTGTATAATATACAAATATCAAATACAGTGCATCATCATCATATATTTCATATTATGAAATATATGATGATGATGCACTGTTTGGAACCTCTGGTGTAGTAATGAATATTACTGGAGTTTTTTCCCAACACCAAATCGTTATTTTTTAACACATCTTAAATCTTCCTCTTGAAGATGATCACTTGGTGATTGAAACATGTGTCGAGGTATTAAGAATAACGATTTGGTGTTGGAAAAAAACTCCAGTAATATTAATTATAAAATAGATTGATTAAAATTGAAAAAATATACTCAATACAATATTTAGTGTTATATATATACAGGTCTTTCACGACGAGCGTTCGTTAGGAATATATGGAGAACTATTCAAAATAAAAACTTGAAATTTTGTGATAGTGGGTTTTACAAAATGGACTTCTCAACTAAAATATTTTCTACTTCCGGTCTCTTTCCGTTATACCGGAAGTTGAGGGCAAATTCCTTATTTCAAACGGAACACCCTGTATTTTATTACATTTTTGAATTTCTCAGCACATTTTAGGCTCACTTTGTATAACAATGCCTATACCCAAATTTGTTAGTTTTCGAGATATTAATATTTTTCTGAAAAATTTGACAGTTACAGCACCACTACGAAAAAATCATAACTCATAGACAGTAACA